TGTGTATAGAACCTCTTAATCAAATGTTTCATAGCTTTCTCTAGTTAATGGTGGTTGGGTCTAGTTGAAAATACTAGATACATGCTAAAATCAGAATTTTGTTATAATTCTATATTTAAATAGGATAAGAATCTTATTTATTTTATTTATTTATTTTATTTTCAGTGTTTATATGCCGGCCAATCCCAAAGGACTCAGGGCGGCGTACAAAGTTAAAACAATGATAAAACAATAGAATAAAGCAGTCATACCGCGAGTCCGATCATATCCCGGCCCCCCGGGGACATCAGCCCCAGGCCTGCCGGAACAGGAGGGTTTTAACGGCCTTCTTAAAGGCCGGCAGGGTGGGAGTAGTTCGAACCTTGGGGGGAAGTTGATTCCACCAGGTCGGAGCCACCACAGAAAAGGCCCTTCCCCGAGGGCCCACCAGCCGACATTGTCTGGCCGACGGGACCTGAAGGAGGCCCAATCTATGGGACCTCACCGGTCTCTGGGAGCTGTGCAGCAGAATGCGGTCCGGTAAGTAACCTGGCCCTATGCCATGAAGGGCTTTAAAGGTGATAACCAACACCTTGAATTGCGTCCGGAGACCCACAGGAAGCCAGTGCAGCTCGCGGAGGATAGGTGACACGTGGGCGTACCTTGGCGCGCCCACAATCGCTCTCGCGGCTGCGTTCTGAACCAACTGCAGCCTCCGAACGCCCTTCAAGGGTAGCCCCATGTAGAGCGCGTTACAGTAATCCAGTCTTGAGGTGACAAGGGCATGAGTGACTGTGAGTAAAGCCTCCCGGTCCAAATAAGGCCGCAACTGGTGCACTAGGCGAACCTGTGCAAAGGTCCCCCTGGCCACAGCCGATAGATGTTGTTCCAGATTTAGCTGTGAGTCCAGGAGGACACCCAAGTTGCGTGCCTGCACTGAGGGAGGTAAATTTGCCCCCCCCCCCCAGGACTAAAGATGGACCATCCAGTTGGTCTTTGGGAGGCAAGACCCAGAGCCACTCGGTCTTGTCAGGGTTGAGTCTAAGCCTGTTCACCCCCATCCAGACCCTCACATCTTCCAGGCACCGGCACATCACGTCGACTGCTTCACTGAAAGGACACGGGGTGGAGATATATAATTGGGTATCATCCGCGTACTGATGATACCTCACCCCGTGTCGCCGAATGATCTCACCCAGTGGTTTCATGTAGATGTTAAAAAGGAGGGGGACAGGACCGAGCCCTGAGGCACCCCATAATCGAGGCGCCTAGGGGTCGATCTCTGTCCGCCCGCCAACACCGACTGCGACCTGTCAGAGAGGTAGGAGGAGAACCACCGCAATACGGTGCTGCCCACCCCCACCTCTCCGAGACGACGCAGAAGGATACCATGGTCGATGGTATCAAAAGCTGCTGAGAGGTCAAGAAGCACCAGGATAGAGGAATGACCCCTATCCCGGGCTCGCCAGAGGTCATCGGTCAGTGCGACCAAAGCAGTCTCAGTGCTGTAGCCGGGCCTGAAACCAGATTGAAAAGGGTCCAGATAATTGGTTTCCTCCAAGGACCGCAAGAGTTGAGACGCCACCACCTTCTCTACAACCTTCCCCACAAAGGGGAGGTTGGAGACGGGACGAAAGTTCTTCAAAACAGCTGGGTCCAGGGAAGGCTTCCTTTAAAGGTTGTGGGAAAGACCCCTCCATCAAGGAAGCATTGATTATCGCCTGGAGCCAGCCTCGTGTCACCTCCCTACTGGCAGAAACCAGCCAGGAGGGGCACGGGTCCAATAAACAGGTGGCGGCATTCATTGCCATCACGGCCTTGTCCACTTCATCAGGGGTCACAGGCTCAAACTCGCTCCAGATAATATGACTAAGACCAGCCCCTGGCAACTCGGCTGGCACTGCCCAGTCAGAGTCCAGGTCCCTCTGAATCTGAGCGATTTTGTCCGAAAGAAACTGAACAAACTCCTCAGCTCTCCCCTGCAAGGGTTCCTCCGCCTCCTCCACTTTAAGAAGGGAGCGGGTCAACCTAAACAAGGCGGCCGGGCGAGATTCTGCGGACGCAATAAGTGCGGAAAAGTGAACACGCTTTGCCGCTCTTATCGCCACTAAATAAGTCCTAAGATAGGCTCTTAATAGTGATCGGTCAGATTCAGAGTTACTGGCCCTCCAACGTCGCTCTAGACGTCTCTTGTGGAGCTTCATCTCCCGGAGCTCCTCAGTAAACCAAGGCGCCCTCCGGGGACCACCACCACAGAGAGGTCGCAAAGGCGCAATTCGATCCAGGGCCCCGGACGCTGCCTCAGTCCAGGCCGCAACCAGGGACCCGGACGAGTTGTGGACAAGGGAGTCAGGTATTTCCCCAAGCTCCTCCTGGAACCGATCTGGGTCCATTAGGCGCCTGGGGCGGAACCACCTAATCGGTTCCATCTCCCTGCAGTGGGGGAGTGATGCTCTGAAGTCCAGCCTCAATAGGAAATGATCTGTCCATGACAAGGGCGAGATCTCTATTCCCCTTAATTCCAGATCATGTCTCCATTGCCCCGAGAGAAACCCAAGGTCGAGTGTGTGACCACCCCTATGGGTCGGATCCTGAATTACCTGGGTCAGGTCCATGGTTGCCATGGAAGCCATGAACTCCTGCGCTGCCTCTGAGCGATCGCCGAGTGATGGTAGGTTAAAGTCCCCCAGTACTATAAGTCTGGGGAACTCCACCACCAACCCGGCTACTGACTCCAGCAACGCAGGCAGGGCTGTTGCAACGCAGCTGGGAGGTAAGTATGTCAGCAGCAAGCCCAACTGAACCCGTGAACCCAACTTCAATAGGAGGGACTCACACCCAACAACCTCCGGGGCAGGAATCCCACGAGGACTCAAGGACTTCCGAGCGATGACTGCCACTCCCCCACCCCTGCCCTGATGTCGAGGCTGATGAAGCACCACAAACCCGTCCGGGCACATCTCCGAGAGGGAAACACCCCCCTCAGGGCCCAGCCAGGTTTCGGTTATACATGCCAGGTCCGCCCCGTTGTCCAATATTAAATCACGGACAAGGGGGGCTTTGCTGACAACGGACCTGGCATTAAGGAACAGCAGCCTACAATTACTCCCCCGTCACCAGTACTACAGGATGAGCCTTTTGAGGGGCCGGAACAAGGAATCGCTCTAACATAGCGAGTCCTCGTTCCCCAAAGATGGCCTGCTCCTGGGCTCCCGCCATATCTGCCCATCCCAGTCATGACCGGGATGCTCCGACCTTCTCCCCTCCCCGGAGTACCCCCACCCTCACCAGCCTTCTCCCTTCCTGACCGGACTCGCTTTCCATACAGACCAAGCCCAAGGGTAAGTCCTGCCCCCCCTAATTTTGCTATTGCACTCAGCAGAGGGGGTACCAGGCTCCACCCCCGACTCCACCATTCTCATACCCCAAACACTCAATACACATTCACACTCAATTTATATACATAGAAAATAAAAATGTTCACATTCATACGCCCTAAATACAATAATAAAATTTACACATAACAGGGCCATCATTCATCTACATGCATACTCACACCCACAACAAACATTCTCTAAAAATTAGTATTGCCCCTCTGTGTCCCAGGCTGGTCCAATGTGGCCGGCTAGGTAATCATTAGGTACTTGTCTTGGGGCAAACCGTACTTGGCCTTATGCTCCTTGAAGAGCTGGGTCAACTTCTCCAAGTTGTTGCTGGCCGTCACCGCAACGGCGGCAATTGCCGCCAAGGCAACGGGCAAAGTCACACGGGGAACCCAGGTCACTGGAGAAGGCCCCGCCGTGGAGCCTGAAGAAAACAACGAGGAGGCGGCGGCGATGATAGCAGAGAAGGAAAAGAAAGCCACATACGGGGCAGCGAGAGTTGGCTGAACGCCAGGCCAAATTGCCCAGGCGGGCTGCTGCGGCGAAGCCTGCCGCCACGGGGGAGGCTGTGGCTGCTGGTGAAGCAGGACAGCACTCTCCAGCAGCAGAAAGTCGGGCTGTGGGTCGCCGCCACGCGGGACACGGGATATGCCGGGCAGCGGGGATGAGGCAGTGGCGGCCTCCAGGCACAGCGAAGCAGCCGAGGCGGCAGACAAAAGTCCTGCACAAACCCAGTTAGAAAACTGGCTAACCAGATCAAGCTTCAATGGGAAGGAAGCCATGAGGGTAAAAAAACGCTGGGCTGAGCTGGGCTGGGCTGGGCAGGGTAAGGCGGGGCAGTGGCAGCTGGAAGAACCCCAGACGAGGTGCGCCCCGCCCTTCTCCCCGGCAAAGGCCGAAAAGTCTTCCTCCGCCTGGGAAGCCACCTGGTAGCCCCGCCGCTTGCCCCGCCCGAGCCCGGCCTCCTCTCCGAACTCGCCAACAGGCCCGAACGCCACCGAACGCCACCGCTAGCCCGGCTCTAGACCTCGCCTGTCCTCAGTTCCGGCGCAGCAATGGCGGCGTTGGCGTCGGCCTTGGCGAGTTTGCCTTGCCTCTGTCTTTAAAACGGCAGCGCACAACAGTAATATTAATCCTGGAATTAGCACATTATGGTAATTTAATTGCTTTTGGTGAACCTTTTCTTTTGTAGTTCTAAATAATTAGGAGTGATGAATAATAGTGAGTGGTGAAATCAAACTACTGGAATTATGATGTAATTAACATAAGCAAAATTATTTACTTATTTATGTATGTTATTTTCTAATTTTCATTTTTAAAGTTTCTGTGTGACACTTCTCCATTGCCACAATGATTTCCAGTTGTTCATTTGAAACAACTGTTTATCTGCGCTCCTGTTAGGTCTGTGCAAAGCAGTGCAATCTGTCTCAGTCTTCATGTTGAATGTCAAAATGATGCATCTCTGCTCACGAAGTGTCAAAGCAAAGCCAATCCAAAGGGGCTTAAACCATCTCTGTACATGTATAACAACCACTAAAGGAACTGAATCAAAACATACAGTCTTCCAAAATGATTCCACAGGAATGCTTCAGACATCCTGAAGGCAAATTTAATGAAAGAACTAATTTAAGCTAATAATTAAATCACTGCATCTTTAATGTGATTCTAAAAGCAGACCGTCTTTTTTCAGACTTACACATAGTTTGAAAAAAGACATGCATGCTTTAATAAAGAGCGGAGAGGTGTTATGCTCATGTTTGTTTCTGAAGCACTTCCAAATGTGTAGATCCTGTGCTTGCAGACAGGAGCAGGAACAGATGCTGAGGTTCAGAGCCAGGATGCTGGTGAGTGAAGAGTTCCCATTAGTGAAAAAGCAGTCTGTATTGCTGCAAAGGAAAGGACAGTTTTGCTCAAATTCAGATAATTTGGAACCAGAAAATAAAAGTTTTGATTTCAAATACAACAGTGTTCTAAGAATCCTGGCATCCAGAGCTCCCTCTGAATCAATATAAAAAATGTGAAAGTGTTCACTATTACATTTGCCAGTTCAGCTTCTTAATGGTGAAAAATATTTGGTACATTCATATCCTATTCATCTGCATATCAGGTCCTTGAGAAAGTGAAAGAAATATAACTTGCCCTTTTGTGTTAGAATCCATTCTGTACTAAATACCTCCTACTAAGAAGTGGGTTCAAAGTATACCATTTAGCATTTTGCATCCAGATATAAAGGGAGAGGTGGCTTCTTTTGCTTCTAAGCTATTTTTCCATTTCCTACAGAGCCTTAGGGCTGGATTGATTCACATGTTCATATTTTTCACTTGGGGATAAAAAGGAAACATCAGAGTAAAAACTTTCCTGTGTGAAACAGTCATCAGATAAAACACAACAGATTCTGTTTTGACATATCATTGCAAGCAAAATATTTTTTGGTTGAGCAAAAAATATTGTATGAAGCATCCCAGGATATCTGGAGGGCAATGACTTTTAAAATAAAGCTTAATATTTTTTTTAAAAAATGCTTTGGCCTGGATAGCAATGGATAGATCTTCCTACTGAGAGGTACTGCCTTTAAAGAAAGCAAAGCAAGAATTTTCTAAAGCAGTAGTCCACAACCTTTGTGGTTTGGTGGCCCGGCTGGGGGGGAGGGACAGGGGAACTGGGCTATGTAAATGGCCGTTGCGCAAGTGGCAGGCCAGTATGCACATGTGCTTGCACACCTGTCGGCTTGCCACTCATGCAAGTTGAGCCACGCGCATGCTCCAGCCAGCCACTCACGCAGCTCAATTACTAATAGGCCATGGCCTGAGAGTGGGCTGCAGCCCAAGGGTTGGGGACCCTTGCCCTAAAGGCATAAAAATACAGCTGCTTTTGTAATAGCCATAATAGCCTTAGATGTGGAACCTATGGCTCTTTCAATAATTTCTCAGCTAACATACAAAATATATGTATTCGGAAATGACTATGTCATATTTTATAGGCCATCCTATTTCCTCTACTTACAGCATCTTATTATCAAGAGAGTTATTAGATATATCCTATATCCTAAAAGTATGAAATAATAATAATAATAATAGTAATAATAATAAAGTTGGAAGGGACCTTGTACATCATTAGACCAAACCCTGCTCAGGCAGGAAACCCTATACCATTTCAGACAAATGGTTGTCCAGTCTCTTCTTAAAAACTTCCAATGTTGGAGCATTCACAGCTTCTGGACACAGGTTATTCTACTGCATAATTGTTCAGGAAATTTCTTCTTAGTTCTAGATTGCTTCTCTCTTTGGTTAGTTTCCATCCATTGCATCCATCCAGGTGCTTTGGAGAATAGCTTGACTCCCTCTTCTCTGTGGCAACCCCTGAGATATTGGAACACTGCTATCATGTCACCCTTAGTCCTTCTCTTCATTAAACTAGACATTCCCAATTCCAGCAACCGTTCTTTATATGTTTTATCCTCCAGTCCCTTAATTTGTTGTTCTTCTCTGTACTCTTTCCAGAGTTTCAATATCTTTTTTACGTCATGATGACATGATGTAGAATATTGAAATTCAAAATAGTGCAAATGGCCATCAGTCCTCTTATTTCATGAAAATATGGGCAAGTTTATTAAAAAAAAATACAAAAACTAAAATTTATTTAAAAGGAAAAGAGGGAACAAAACAAGAGAACAATTCAGGTTAAGCTGCATCTTTAAACTACAGAAGAAGAATGGATAAAATCCAATTTCTAAGTGACCTACATGTGGATGTTAGCATTTATTTGGATACAACATTTTTTCCCAACCCAGCCTACTGCACATATGTTGTAGTCCCAGTGTCTGGAGTGCACTAGGAAAAGGAGGATATAGAATTTCATTGCCTTCAGGAGCTGCATAACAGGCAGAAAAATGGGAGAGGCAGGTTTTCAGAACACAAGAACATAGTGATAGAAAAGCATTTTCTCTCAGTCAGTATTAAAGACATAAGACTTCCAGAAAAAACTAACCAAACACAATATTCTTTTGGCATTCAATATAAATATTTTTTAAGAAAAATATTTTACAATATTTATAGACAGCTCTAATCCTAACAACTTTGAGCAAGAAATAACAAAGTAAAAAAGTATATAAAATATAAATAATTTAAAATTGGATTTGATTTCATTATGTTCCATCAATTCATTGTCTACCCTTAGTAACCACATAAAGTTTCTCTATGAAATAATTTAAAAACAGTAATAAAAATTAGTGCTTTAAAGGTGTCATTCAGTTAATCTATGGGCCAAATGCCTACTAGAACACTACTACTATAGTGTGTATTCATAATACCTGTGGAGTATGAATCATAGAATCATAGAGCTGGAAGGGACCTTGCAGGTCTCCTAGTTCAACTCCCTGTTCAAGGCAGGAATCCTTCTTCCATCTAGGAAAAATAATTGTCCAAACTTCTCTTGAAAACCTCCAGTGATGGACATCTGGGAGGCAAACTGTTCTATTGAATAATTGTTCTCATTGTCAGGAAATTTCTCCCTAGTTCCAGGTTGGGTCTCCCTCTGAAGAGCCTCCACCCATTGCTTCTTGTCCTGCCTTCAGGTGCTATGGTGAATAAATCAACCCCCTCTTCCTTTCAAGTATTGGAAAACAGCTATCATGTTTCTCTTCATCAGGCTAAACATAAATATCTAGTTCCCTTAAGATGTTCATACGGTTTAGCCTCCAGACCCCTTTTCATCTTTGTTGCTCTTTTTTTTAAGGCCTCAGCATATTTTTTGTATTGTGGTGACCAGAACTAAATGTAGTGTTCCAAGTGTGGCCTTACTAGTGCAATATAAAATAGTATTATCCTGCGTTGAATTGTCCTGCGGCGAGTTGGCTGCACTGAGACTGCCGTGCTGAGTCGGCCATGGCGAATTGTCCTAGACCCCTTCTCTGAAAGCTGTATCTACATCTTTTAACTTTATTGAGTCACCAAGACTATTCTGATGCAAGCCCTGAGAAGTAAGGAAACCAGTGGAGTATGATTAGATGTGACAGATAATCCTGTTCTAGAAGAGCCTGGTCTCTTTCTTTTATGTCATTGCTTTACTAATGCTATCTCCAGAAAGCAGCAGCATAACATCCAACGGAAAAATAACCCTCTCTAAGCTGCATTCAACTATATTTCTCTACACTATATACCTCATCAGCATAAGAAAGGAGCAAGTAAAGACGCTCCATGCTGGATACATACAGCTTCTACTTGCAACCACTGCTTTTTTCTTTCACTATTTCTTTCTTAAGAAATACTGTATAATAGAAATCACTATGGCAATGCGTATTCCCCCAACACTTACATGTTCACAGGTGGAATCCTCTGAGCTTTGGAAATGATTCTTGGCCCCAGCAGGTGGAGCCTGGACCTAAAGTGATACAGTTGTTCTTAGACAGAAGTACTTGGGATGACTCATTTTGAGCCTGCATGTTTCTTAGAAATGCCATCTTTTGTTCCTATTAAGCACTGCCAATGGATGCTGATTTTTCAGCATGTGGCTGGTAATTTAACCCAGCTCAAGGATCTCTGTTCCAGGGACAAAGGACAGGATGTAAGATTCCAGAAGGAAAGAGGTTGCTTTGTGTGGGAAGCATTGGGCTCATCTGCCAGTACCTGTTACACCAAGGATCTTGACATTTTCCAGATGTCCCTGCAGGAAAACAGCACCTGATTCCACTTAAAGCTTGCAGCATCTCTCCTTACTCCCACATCTCGCACCAGAAAATATGGAACTTTCCGAGAAAAATAATGTCTTTGGGCTGGGAAAAATCTTAGGATTTTTTATCAAAAGCTGGAGCTGGCTCTGACTGTGCTAAAAAACGAGCATATGCAAACAGAAGGCCCCAAGATGCTTACAAAAGTCAAGGTTTCCTCAGAAATTGCATGACCTAAACAGAATGGGGGCTAGTGTAACAAGGAGTGACTGAGACCTGAGAGACAACAGATTTTCCCCACGGGAGAGGACCCAGTCTTTGGCCCCATAAAAAACAAACCACGAGCCGTCTGGGCCTATTTAGCATCCATGACCTTTCACCTTAGAGATCCCCCCCCCCAACGACTGCCTGCTGTGCACAAACTTGCTTTTCAGCACAGAAAGACTCTTATGGCTGCTTCTTATATCAGTTTAGCTCCATTAATATCTGCAAATTCATCGAAGAATGACTATATGAACATGTTTCTCTCTGCTGGAATTATTTTTGGGAGAGTGGTAGGAGGATTTCTGATAAACATTATAGTACAGTCTCTTCAGTATTCACTAAATAATTAGTAAGTTTCACCTACCATTATTTTTTTTAAGAAAAAGAAGTTCCACAAGATTCACTGGTTAGATCTAAATTCCATTTAGGTGTTTTATTTTATTTTCTTGGTTTAATCAACACAGTAGGGGAAGCAGCATACTAGTTCCAGTGGTGGGATTAAAATATGTGAACAACCAGTTCTCTGTGTGGATGCCACTTCCGGAAGTCCATTCTGGGCCTGGGCAACAAAAAATTAGTTACAGGTACTGCTGAACTGGTGCGAACCGGCTGAATCCCACCACTGACTAGTTCCATGCCAATCATAATCTTCAAACTGGAAGAATAACCTTTAAAGCAAGGAATTGTTTTGGCAATTAATCCTTAAAATTCAAGTTTTAGAACTGTCTTAATGTGCTTAGAGAAACTTTCTTCTTGCTTTGCACCTCCAACTGAGTCATACTAATGGCAAGTGATACAGATAGTTGTGCTCATCCTTACTTTCATCCCTCATGGTTTGAATAAATAGAAAAAGTAGAAAGTTAGCAAGGCAAGAATTATTGTCATTTTCCTATAATGTTTTAGTCTCAGGTCCTCATCTGCAACATAGAATAGTGACTTAACTATCTACAGTTCAAACTGGAGTTATGTATATTCTCTTCTCTTGGTATTTGGTATTTCAGATGAGAGCCTACAAAGAAAGAAAGCTCTACTGAGAAGAAATAGACTATGTCATTGTTTTATTGAGAGTCATAGATTTCTTTAGGAAGCACTCAAGTATAAAAGACTTTCACATACAGTTAGATCTCTCACATTTTATAATAGTGTAATAGCCAATCTAACATCAGAAGCATAATGAATAGGATACATTTACAGGAAGGGATATCCTTACTGCTATTTAATTTAATATATATATTTTTGCAGGTAGATATTTTTCAATATGGTTTTATACCAAGTAAATTAATAATATCATTTAATTGTAATAGAAATAATAAAGCTTTTAAAAAGTGAAGAGGAGGAGGGCATATTCAAAGTATGATAAAAAGTCTTCATAGAAAACATTTCTCTGTGTACAAATGCATCTGGACTGAGTATGGAAGCTTGCATAATAAAACATATATGTTTGGTACAAAATGTGCCAATCAGCATGAGAGAATTCACAACCACTAACTAATAAATAATGATGAATCTGACTTCATTGTCACTTCCAATTGCTTACAACCCAGCAGACATCATTTTGCCAGGATCACTTGTCAATAGTCGTTTCTTTGACATCTTATAAGTTTATGCATGTATCATAAGTTTGTGTTACACTGATAGTATCCAGCCACTCTGTCTTCTGTTGGCCTCTGGTTTGCCTTCTCTTTGTCCAGATATCAGAGTCTTTTGCCCTCATGTTACATGCTCCTGTCAATTGGATTTCTTCTGCCTTCATGTTATATGTCTAAAATCTCTAAGCTTTAGCTTCATCATTTGCGCTTCCTGTGGTTAGCTTGGTTTTATTTCATCTAGCATTGAATATTATGTTCTTGCAATCCAAAATGTTTTCAATCACTTTTGTCAGCACCATAAATCAAAGGCATGAATATTTCTGATAATTCAGATTTCACAATCACGTTACAGTTCAGAAAACAAAAGAGTGATGTCTCTGTACTATAACTAGATTTCTCAGTTTCTGCTTGTAGTTACTATTCTGTGAATTTTGGGGGCCTAGGGAAATAGTCTGTCACTATTTCAAGATCTTAATAATAATAGAAAGCAAAGGTAGTGTCAATAGTTATAGGCGCCTCGAGTGCAATCTCAGAAAAACTGGATTATCACTTGAACATCATCAGCATTGACAAAATCACCATCTATCAATTGCGAAAGGCAGCTTTACTTGAAACAGCTTACATATTTCAACAGTACTTATGTTGTGAACAACAACATTGATGAGACAACAATTATGTTTTATGACAGTACCTTTAATATTATTAAACAACATCTGCTTATCCCTTGGGAAGAGCTCAAAAGGTTGATAAAAATACCAAATCTAGTCTAAACAACTATGTGTATGCAACCAATCATCATCATCATAAAATATAAAGACCTGCAAATAGAAGTAGAATGACTATGACAAAAAAGCAATGATAGTACCAATAGTAAAAGGCATCTTGGGTGCAATTCCAAAACATGTAAAACTTGATTTCCACTGGCATTGGCAAAATTACCACGAGTCAATTGCAAAAGATAACTTTACAGTACTTGGAATAGTTTATATTCTGCAACAATGCCGTTACTATTATCAAACAACATCTGCTTATCCCAGGTCCTTGGAAGGACCAGATAAATAGACAAAAATGCCAAATCTAGCCTAAACATCTGGCTAGTCAACCATAAAAATTATATTAGCATTTACTGGTCTTTTTTCAACAAGTTTACCTCCCCTTTAAAATTGTACCACTATTATTTTGGCTTTCCCTTTCTAATAGTTAATCACAACTCTTTGGCAAACTGAAGGAGAGTGCTATTCCACTAGAAAAGCAGAGATGCAAGAAAGGTTTACAATAGTAAGGTAAACTCTATGTATCCGTGTGTTTCCCACCCAACAGCTATAATAAAACAATCATTAGGCGTGTTCCTGAATATGTCCTTTTATGACAGATCATACCATTGTATTGAAGGGTTGGATAATAATGAAACTCTAGAATAGCTAGATTTTTAAAAATATGAGGGCTGTATTTTGATATAGTCCTACCCTAGGCATCTTCCAATGTAACCAAGAGGGATCCTCTTTGCATTTGAGTTTCAGGTTGGATTTGTTTTTTTCCCAGCCAGGTCTCTAGACAAACTTTATAATTTTGCTGACTGCTCTGGCCTGCATCTCATCTTTGCACTAAATGCTTTGCGCCGGAATCCCAACAATTCCTGGAACAGCTCCAATGCTCTCAGCCTGCTCAAGTACAGTGCCAGCAAGAAGTACAATATCTCCTGGGAGCTGGGCAACGGTAAGTGAACTTTAAGGATGGGGATTTGGAGAAGAGAAGAGAAGGGAATGGGAGGATCAAAGAAGCACTATTTCAGAACTTTTCTCAATAAAGCATTGCTGTATGGAATGTTAGTGCAACTCATCCCTACAGGGATCCAAATAGAACAAATGAGTTGAATAAAGATAGGCATCTGTTAGTGCAATAAATGTGAGGCCAAGTATATACGCATAAGTGAGAACATTTACAAGTACCTGGGGATAAATATATTTACAGTGCGATCTTACATCACTGTATCCAGAATTGAGTCAATTAAATTCATTCCAATAGATAGATGACTAAGAGATATGCCTTGTAAAGAAATATGACATCATTCCCTTATGCATACAGATCGTCCTCAACTTACAATCACAATGGGGACTGGAATTTCCGTCATAAGTCAGTGAGATCATAAAGTGAGACATCATGTGATGAAACCTGGTTTTACAACCATTTTTGCTGTGGTTGTTAAGTGAATCACCCCTGCCAATAAGTGAATCCAGCTTCCCCAATTGACTTTGCTTATCAGAAACTAGCTGAGAAGATTGCAAACAATGATAATGTGACTGCAAGATACTTCAACCATTTCTAAATGTATACCAGTTGCCAGGTATCTAAATTGAGGTCATGTGACCATACAGGTAGTGCAAGAATCATAACTTTGAGAATGAGTATAAGTCACTTTTTCTAAGGATGTTGTAACTTCAAACCACTGTTAAGTCAAGGACTACATGTAATGCCTCCAGACTAGTGACGGTTTATCAGGTGAATTGTCAGGATATTGTCAAGGTTGGTTAATGTTTTTTTTTCTGTTTTCTTACAGAACCAAATAATTACCGAACCCTCACAGGACGAGCAGTGAATGGCACTCAGTTGGGCAAGGACTATATGCAGCTGAAGAGACTGCTACAATTAATCCGCACCTACTCCCGAGCCAGTCTGTATGGGCCCAATATTGGGAGACCTAGGAAAAATGTTGTCACCCTCTTGGATGGGTAAGTGATCATGGCAAACAATGCAGAAGGCTAGAAAATAACTATTAAATATCTATTCAGCTTATTATGATCCTCTTTGTATTGTGAGATATAATCTATATTGGTTCCACCCAGCTTGGGAAGCCATACCTATCTTCAGAATTACTATATAATCCCTTATTCCATATAATAGAGAACCCATGAATTTCTTATTGTAAGCTAAGAGAATAATGCACAGCCTAGTTAAGAGCTCCACGACCATCAGATACAAGAGATCAGAACCGTTCCAAGACATCTTATTGCCAAATGTGAGGGGACTGGCAACCAGTCATGCTTTTCCCCATTGGCCAACTATTTCTCGTCCATCCTGAAGTAGGAAACTACATTGACATAACATTTGGTGATCTTATTGCCAGTTCCTATCCTGCATCTATTACTTCTGTTAAAGCTTTCTCATGTTGAGTCATGTTAAGCATAGTGATTGCTTAATTTTTCTGGCTTTGATGTCCTGTGTCTTTCTGAACATTGCAGGTGACAGGAAATAATTCACCAGTCAAAACACTGATATAATTTGGGGCAAGGATAGGAAAATTCTGAATTTTGATAAGTGACTGACTAATCTCTCCTTTGCTACTATGTGGTGAAGCAGGAGAAAGCAGGCCTCACAAACTGTTACATCCTTGTACATGCTGATCTGAACTATTACAGGCTATGCCCCACTGATCTATTCTCTCCAGGGGACACTAGACAATGCCATATTGAAAGATAACTACTGCTAAAAAGGTCCTACGGAACTAAAAGGGATGTACTCATTAACTTCTGTGGTTGTTCTGAATGACCAATCTCACTACCAATTTGAGAGTTGAAATAAGTTCAGTAATCATTCCTCAAGAAACTCAGGGTGCTATGATATCACCATTTATTCTATGACTTTGGCCCCAAAGAGAATTCATCAGGCCTGTTAAATCTAAAGTAGTCTTTTAGTATTATCCTTTTAGCATTAGAAATTTTAAATTGATATTTTGTGATCCCTTGGGCATTGCTATTTTTGCCATATCTGCTTATAAACCACATGTTAAGATGACAGCAAACACCTGAACTAGGGTTTCCTAATAGTATCTAAATCGGAATATGATATCTTTTCTTGTAATAGGAGTAAATGATTCATTATGTCCCTTCTAGTATAATAATAATAATAATAATAATATAATAATAATAATAGGAAACCGTATATCATTTCAGACAAATGGTTGTCCAGTCATATATGGACAAATATATGATGTATGTTTTAACAACTAGATCTAAAAGAAAGGAGAACTGCTAGTTTCTGAATCAAAGCTGATCCTGTGTACTGTACCATATCACAGAGCTGAAGGAAGGAATTATGGGATAATTGAGCATTCAATGAGCCCTAGTGGCACAGTGGTTAGAATGCAGTACTGCAGGCTACTTTTGCTGACTGCCGGCTGACTGCAGTTTGGTAGTTCGATTCTGAATAGCTCAAGGTTGACTCAGCCTTCCATCCTTCCGAGGTTGGTAAAATGAGGGCCCAGATTGTTGGGGGCAATATGCTGACTCTGTAAACCATTTAGAGAGGGCTGTAAAGCACTATGAAGTGGTGTATAACTCTATGTGCTATTGCTATTACCTCTCTCACTTTCTGATTGATTTGGCATATGTGTAAGACATTACACTCCCTGTAAAAATTTTCTGGACTATGGTTAAAGGTCTTATACCTGCTATAATCAATACTATTACTTTTCCTGCTCTTTGTTTTTAATCCTGTCTCATATTGCTTCTTGGCCATAGTGTTCCTTTCCATATAGTTTGGTTAAATTCTACAGCCTAAAAAACTTTTTTTGCTATCTGCTGTTATAAATTATTAAAGTAAGGTTTTCCCATAAAATTATAAGTACTTAGCTGTCTGAATTTAGGATTTTTTTTCAAATAGATACATATTTTAAAAACTAAACTCTTGTGTTGAGCATGGCTAAATTATGACTGTGAGAACAAGATTTTATCTTTTATTTATTATTAAATACATGTGTACCCATCTTGCTATCCAAGGTGACTCTGGGCGGCTTACAGTGCAGTAAAAATACAAAAACAGTTACAAATATAAAAACAATTTAAAGTTCCAAGAGTTCATATGGGCTAACAAAACCAAGAGCTCCAGTAGAGTGAGGGTGATGCGTCCTTCTCTATCACTGCAGCAACCACCTCTATCAGAACCCCAGGCCAACTGGCCGAGCCAGGTTTTAAGACCCTTCTGAAAACCAGAATGGTAAAGGCAGATCTCACATTTATTATAAAATAACAAAGGGTAACTTTTTAACACTTAGATTAGCTTAATGTAATCTTGACATTCTTGCTGTTTCAATAATTATTCCTAGCTGCGGTGACAAAATGCAGAAGAAAATAAGAGTTCTCATATTGTCAATAACTTATGTAGGAGAGAAAAATTACAGGAGACATGTCTTCCTTTACAGCCAAAGCAAATACAGTATAAAAAGCCAACTCTCTGACATGCAACCAAGAAAAGTAAAAAAAAAAAAAAAAAAAAGTATAGGCAGTCCTCTTTTTAGTGATGGTTCACAGTTACAATGGTGATAACAGAGTAACTTTACCACCAATTCTCACATTTACATTTGCAGGTCTGTAAAGCAAAGGAAAATTGAAGCAAGATCATAAGCATAATTGCAGTTTCACAGTGAACACTTCACTAATCACCAAGTTGCCATTCCTAATTATGGTCACTAAAAGAGAACTACACATAATTAGTTTTTTCCCTCCACAATATCTTCTGCTTGATGGACAGAATGTTTTTCTTTTATTTTGCTTTGTTTGTCTCCAGACTTTGAAATATACATTGTTTTCCACTATTAGGGCATTTTAGGGAAACAGCAACCAGAGGTCAAGATAAGAAAAATTGGGCACAGAGTTTGTGAAAATATGCTCCAGAAATGACTGTTTCCAACCACTAATAATTCTGATTTCTTGAAGAATTGTAGTTATATTTCAATTTATACTAATAAAGACTAACTGATGCAGTTAGTTTTCTTGCCCATTATATTGATACGTATCTAAACCATGAAAGGAATCCGTTTATTTCATCTCAAAGATTATGAAAAAAGAGAAGAAGGAAGGTTACATGCCACAGAAAAAGTACATTAGTGTACTTCATTTAAAAAAAGAGATCTAGTGAATATGTATCTTTTTTATGTCTAAACATACCCAACAGGCAGTCTAGGTTAAAAACCTGAAGTGTCTGAATGATGGTGAGTAAAGGTATACTCTAAAAAGGACTGGCTATGCTCCGTGCCTTATTAGAGTGACACTGGCTTCAACTATGTATTTTTTATCATAAAAATATCAATGAATTGAACACTGTATTTTCACTTCTAAGCAGTTTGTTCACTTTGATTTGCAAAGTAAAGTTTGTGCAACTGAATAACTAGTAATTCCTGCATATCCTTTTTTTTGGGGGGGGGGGGATTTCAAAATTTGAAAAACTGCTAAGATGCTTCAAAGAGCCAACGTAGTATATACAATAGTAGAAGATAATAACCAATCAGTACAACACAACTTTGGATTCAGTTGCATGCTAACAAAAATGGTTTCATATAGCTCAAATCTGACAGTGCTGGAAAGTATGCTTGTAAAGTACAAATGTATCTGTAGGTGGATGTAGGTGGGTGTGGGTGTAAACCCAATAAGGAGGCCTATTAAAGTTGCATTTGTGTATGTAATTTTTTACTGGGTCAAATTTCATTGTATCTAGATAATTTCTTTAACTATCCTGCTTTATTCTTGGTTTCAGTTGGAACATTTACACTTAAATAAAAAATATAAACTAGGTTTTGTGGCTGAGAATTTTAAACATGAACAGGTTCCACATTTTAGAAGGCAATGGAAGATTTTGGGTCCATAAACCTTCCCATCATCACAACACTCATACACTCTTTTTTTTTTTTTTTTTTTTTTTATTGAAATTTTTCAAAAGTTTTACAAATAAAAATCCACCCCCCCCTCCCCAACCACCCCACCCCCCCCCGACTTCCCAGAACTGAATATAGGATTATTTAACAAATATTTTAAAAATAACATTTGCAATTTATAAAATAATTAATAATAATAATAAAAATCACAATAATAATATATATAATAATAATATAGATAACATAAACTTTAAAATGAATAATATATACTAAAAAAGAAAAAAAAAAAAAAATAAAAAGAGAAAAGAGAGAGAGAAAGAAGAAAGAAGAAAGTAGACGAAAAATAAAGCATATATATATATATAAAAAAAATATATGAATAATAATACATAAAAAATGTATATATATAAAAAAGAAAAAGAAGAAAGAAAGAAAGAAAAAACAATCATTACAAATTATAAAAAGGCTAGATAATATTTTTCCATATCCAAATTATGTTGTATAAAATTTATCCATTTTTCCCATACCGCAAAAAAATTTTCTTGAGATTGCTCCTTTAAGAAAGCCGAAATCTTTGCCATTTCTGCCAAATACGAAACTTTATGAAACCATTCTTGTAAAGTAGGCAAAGATTCCTTCTTCCAATATTGTCCTATTAACAACCTAGCGGCTGTAATCAAATTTAACATCAATATAACCTCCTTAGCATCACAGTCAATAACAATACCTAGTAAAAATAATTGCGGAGTAAATTTTACCCTCCTTTTAAAAATTCTTTGAATATTCCACCATATCTTAATCCAAAAAGCTTTTATATGCTTACACGTCCACCAAATATGGTAATAGGTAGCATCCAAATATCCACATCTCCAGCATTTCGGCTGTAGATTAGGGTACATAATGGACATTTTCTTTGGGTCAAGGTGCCATCTATAAAACATCTTATAAAAATTCTCTCTTAAATTTTGCGCTTGTGTGAATTTAACATTTCTTATCCAAATAAGTTCCCAAGTATCCATTGAAATCGTTTCACCAATATTCTGTGCCCATTTAATCATACAATCTTTAACTAGTTCAAGTTCTGAATCTAATTCCACTAAAACCCCATAAACTCTCTTAATATGGGTTGGCCTTTGATCTCTTACTTGTTTTAAAAAAATTTCATCTTCTCTAAGCCAGCCCATTTTACAATCCATCTTCCATCTATCCACTATTTGTCTATATTGGAACCATGAATAAGTTAAGTTTTCATGTGTTAATTCTTCCAAAGATTTTAACTGCCAGTCTTGGCCATCCCATCTTAATAACTGTACGTAAGAGACCTTGTCCATATTTACCCCTTTCCTTATACCTTCTATGGCATGCCGAGGTATAGCCCATAATGGTATTTTGAAGTCACTTTTATAATACTTTCTCCACACTCTTAGCAAAGAGTTTCTTATAATATGAGACTTAAAAACCCAATCCACTTTTTTATTAAATATTAAATAGGCATGCCATCCAAAAAATAGGTCCCAACCTTCCAAATGAAGTATTTCTGTATTTGTTAAATTCACCCAGTCGCTAATCAATGTCAATACTACAGCATCATAATACAATTTCATATTTGGTACCTTGAGTCCACCTCTCTCACGAAAATCTTGCATTATTTTAAGTTTCACCCTTGGTTTTTTCCCTGCCCAAACAAATTTATTAATACCTTTTTGCCATTCATCTAAATTACGTTCGTTCTTTAAGATAGGTAACATTTGAAACAAAAAAATAAACTTTGGCAGGACATTCATTTTAATAACTGCAATTCTGCCCATAAGGGATAACTGTAAATTATTCCAGTTTTTTAAATCCTTCTGTACCTCCATCCACAACTTATCATAATTATTTTTATACAATTTTACATTAGAAGCAGAACACTCATACACTCTTTGAGATGAGATGTGTTCCAGATTTTTCTCCTTACTTTCTTGTTGTTGTTCTGGTTTTTGTCTTGTTTTTGTTATTGTGGTTAGATGGTACCCATTTCCTTAATGATTAAAAAGTTTTTTTGTGTGTATGTGGGTGTATCTGTACACTGTATACAAATACACAAATTACACACACACACACACATACGCACACACAAACACAGTGTGTGTGTGTGTGTGTGTGTGTGTGTGTGTGTGTGGTCATATATAATGAGAAAGGCTCTTCAGTCAGCTTTTTAGTAAATGGACTTTTGGTAAAATTTGTAACGTAATGAAGCAAAATATTCAGTTCGCTGTCACACTGTCTACCCACTTCCTAACTTACGTGTCTGACCTTATAACCCAAAATTCCTTTGAAGTATCTGCATCAGACAGTGGGCTTTCCTACCAATGGAAGTGAAAGTAATAAAAAAAACTTTAGAAGTGTGAAAACAGGGTGAAGTACATTGCTAATGTTCTTGTGTTATTGATTTGACCATATAATAAAGATGAACACAATAAAAAATGAATTTTGTATGAGGAAAAAACATTATGCATCCCTGAAATAAGTGTATCATCTTTATAGTTAGTGCTGTCAGATAGGTATGCAGAATACCGTGACAGTTTATTTGATTTAAGTTGCCTCCTTTGAGGGGAATGTTCAGCCTTACATGTTTATGATCTTTTTTTCTTTTGCCTGTTTTAAAACTGCAGTCCCAACCTCTCTTAAGCTGCAGCCATTATCATACTGACTGGATTTCTTATAGTTGAATTCCTCTAAAAGTCACCATATTTAGAATATTTAACAGATACCTTATAAATTCAGTTGTGCAGGTGTGCATTTCAGCAGTATTATGCCATTTTTAATATTCATCAAATAATTCATATTATATCGTATATTGTCACAAATATATCTGCATTAATAAGTATATCTAAGACACATTTTTCCAACCTTATGTCCTCCAGATGAATACTTCCAGAATTCTTGAGCAATATTCTGTACATTATAGTCCAATAGTTTGATGCAGAAGTTGGGGAAGACTGCTTTATGGGGAAGTGATATTTCAGTTTTCCTTCTCCAGCCAAAAGTGGATTTTGAGAATGCATTAATGCAGAGAATTAGGGCACAGACAGATTGCTGCATCAAAGTGCTATACTTCAGTCTAGAAAAAGTGTGATAGCATACATTTTACTATCTGCATTATAGACTTCCATTGTGCATTAAGGCTGGTGTCAGCACTCAGAGCCAGGGAGTAGGTAAAAATGAATCCTCTTATCTCTAAAATAATAAAAACACTCCAAAAGATGGCTACATGAAACTCCATGTTGGTAAAAACATCAGAAAAACTGTAATGCACACATTAGTGACAAAATAAGCAACACACAATGGTAAAATCTGGTTCTCTTTCTTGAGTTAATTCAACTGTCTCTGCATCACAGGACTAGTGCTCTTTCAAAAGTTTTTAAAACTTTCATAGTTTAAAAACTTACTTAAGGAGCTGGAATAATAGACAAGCACTTCTACAGAAGACAAGATTTCAGTCTGCCCTGTAAATCAAACTAAAATAGCACCATGTAGCAATTGGAGGGATAGGGCCATGCTTGTAGGACAGGTCCCAACCTCTGGTTGAGTCATCAACTACATCATTGATAAAGTGTGCTAAATCATTTCAATGGCAAAAATTGAATTGGAAGAGTAAAAATATTTTTTTAAAAATTCTGGAACAGCTATAATTGACTTATAGCTGTTAGTTATGATTTTAAGTCTCTCTGGTGGAATTGGTTATGTCAGGACTCTCCCCTAAAAAGCCACAACATCATCAACAAAAATAAAAGCATTGTAGATTATACATGTTCTTGGGGGTTTCAATATACACACTTTTTGAAAATCTGCAGAAGAAACCATTTTCTCCTTGCTGGATAAACATAGGAAAAAATTATAAGTCATAAAGCTTATTTTTAAGCCCCTTCCATCTTAATCTTCATTGGGTATTGTCAGATGAAAGACTACTACCCTAGTATTACCAATTAAAAGATAAAGTGCAACTACTTGATCTTTTAAGAAAAAAAAAATATGGAGGAAGTAGTTGGAATCATGAGAGGTTACAAATAAAAATAATGTCATATAAGCCCCCTATAAAATTCCATTAACACAATAGGGCAGTTGCAGAATAATAACAGTAACTGGAAGCACCTATAACGAAAGAGAAATTAATTTGAAACACAGACCAGTTTATAGCCCACACTTTTCCTTCGGTCACACAGAAATAATCCTATGGCAGTCTACTGTAGACTTCTGTTTTTATTAATTCCAGATATGAAAAATGAATAGAGATACCTGTTTTAACCTGTATTATGGCTTAGTGCCAAATTATCTGCAGGGCTGCATTTTCCCACTAGAGTCAGTCTGGCCACTTCGGCTGAGCAGGCAGAAGCTGCTGATTGTCCCAGTTTTGGGAGGTTGGAGAGGCTGAAGCCTGGAAACATTTTTCTGTGATGGACAGGCTCTCTGGAATGGCTTCCCATCTGCCTTTTGGAAAAAGTTGAAAACAGAGTTATCCCAGAGGGCCTATAGGGTCTGATGCCAGGAACTGTACTTATTGTACTGTACTTATATTGTATATTTTTTAATATTATTATATTCTGTGTGTTATTGTGGGCCACCAAAAGAGCAGCATGATATAAACCAGATAGAGAGAGATAAAAATGTGCTACTTTTGAACCTGCCTAAAATATATGTTCTAAAGCTATGAAGTATTTTCTCTAGGAAAGTCCTTTTCACGAACAGTTAAACTTAATAGAAAACGATAGATGAATGCTGTCATCTGTGCATCTTTATTATTCCTATAAGATGTGATATTCACTCTTTTATCTTCTTGTTACATAAAATTGGCTCTGCCTGTCCTTCATATGAATAAACATTATACCATATAAACATTGCTGGGTTGTTGTTTTTTTACAATTAACATTGCTATTAGAGGTTGCCATTAATTTCTTTCCCAAGATTTGATTGACACTGCAGACATTCAGATATGTTCTGAGACAGTTCTCTGACCATTTGCTAATTCAGAGCCCATTTTTTTATATGCAGCATGCTGCAGAATGTTGATATATGACAAACATGGAAGGAAAACCAGATGTGGATCGGGAAAGAAAAGCACACATCAAAGAATAACTATCAAATGCTGGAGAGATATCTTGGAGCCTGAGCAATTATTTCTTATTCCTGCAGAAGAAGAAAAAATCTCAAAAGGCTAGAGAAGGACAAATACGTAACATCTATATTTAAGAAGGAGAAGTTGAGGAGTTATAGACTAGTTAGTTTGACTTTTATACCCTGGAAGTTATTAGGATGAGCAATAAATCAATCTTTTTAAGCGCCTGTGGGAAAACAGAGTAATTACTAGTAGGTGGCATAGATTTATGAAAATGACAATGGGTATAACCAATCTAGCAGACTTTTGGCAGGGAATACTTCAAGTATATGTGGCCAATGTCATAGATGTAATACACCTTAACTGTAAACATCATTTTACACATGGATCATGGAAAAGCAAGTAAAACAAAATAAAAATTGGAAGAATTTTATTTTTCTGTTTGTTTGTCTAGGTTATACAGCCACTCATCTCATAAATTAAGTGACTCTATGCAGCATATAAGACTAAAAAGTAAATATCTAAAAACAATTATCATTAATAATTATATTTTAAAAAATTAGAAAAAAATGGAACAAAGTTAAAACAAAGAAATAAATAGAAGAAGGAATGTTAATAATATGAAGCCACCTCATTAATTCACCTGTTCATGGGGAATAACCAAGTCTTGAGGACCTTCAGAAGCTTAGAAGCAATGAGGCCATCCTCAGCTCAGATGGCAGAAAATTCTGCAATGTAGGTATAATAGCAAAAATGGACTGCCATCTAAGACTCATCAACTGGAGCTTCCTAGACAAAAAACCCCATAAAATGACCACTCTGTTGGATCTTGTGAGACAGGCAGATGAAATCAGACAGACACTGTCTCTCAGATAACCTGGTTTCATGCCACGTAGAGCTTTAAAGATCAACACCAATGCCTTGAATTGGTATTGGAAACAAATTGTTAACCAATGCAGTTTGCACAGCACTGATGTAATATATACAGTATCTTCTTAATTATAATCAAGCCTTTGAAGGTTCTAATTGGCTATAAACCCTTCTCAATACTCTGTGAGTAACCCATATCTTGCACAGGCTAAGCTGACTTCTTGTTACTGCCCTTCTCTTTTCTGAAGTTAGAATTGATGTTTGCACATATGGAATAATTCTTAAAAACTCTTTTATTGGTGAAGTAATCTCAATTATTGGTAGAGATTCGGTGGTTTTTGTCTCTCTACCAGTATTTAAGAACTGTTTAACTTCCCTATTTGACATCTTTTCTTAAGTTTGTCTGCTGTTTTGAGATTATCTGTGCTTAACTAAAACTAAAAACTGAAATCAGCACATGAAGATTTACAAAGTACTGCACATTTATGTTTGGGTGCCAAAGATTATAGATAAGTCAAATGAAATTAAATCAATTGGCTACACTCTTTTACATGGAAGAAATCCCTGAACCGCAGCACAACAAAAAGTTTCAGTTACTACTGGAAGCCCCAGCTGCCCTAGCAATATGGCTCAAAACCACAGCCACCTCAGCACAGTCCCAGCCTCAGTCTCTTTCATCACCCTGCACTCGGCCTCCCCAGCTATTGGCAAGGCCTGCTCGCCCTAACCCTTCACGAGGCAGCTGCTGACCAAGCGAGACCATCTTTCCTAGGCCTTACAAAGAAGAAACCCTTGTGTAGCCAGAAGCTTCCTTGCAAAGGGCTGGGCCAGGCCTGCTTGATCAGTAGCAGAAGCAAGAAGACTGCGAAAGTCAGTTAGGGGCTGCAGAATGCAGGGTGCCAAAAGAGCATACCGGGTTTCCCCGAAAATCAGACCAGGTCTTATATTAATCTTTGCTCCAAAAGACGCATTAGAGCTTATTTTCCAGACCAGTTAGGTCTTGTTTTGGGGAAAATACGGTACTAAATGTATCCATCTGGCTGATGATCTTAACTGGGGCTTATTATTACGAGTGTCCTGAAAAATCATTCTAAACTTATTTTCCGTTTGGGTCTTATTTTCAGGAAAACATGGTAGATGGGCAAAAGATATGTGAGTGGGGGAGTTGAAGTGTTCCTGCAGTCATGACTTTTGATCACATGACTTCAGGAATACTGCAATGGCTGTAACTGCAAGAACTGGCTATATGTAATAATAATAATAATAATAATAATAATAATAATAATAATAATAATAATAATAATAATAATAAAGTTGGAAGGGACCTTGGAGGTCATCAAATCCAACCCCCTGCTCAGGCAGGTAACCCTATACCATTTTGGACAAATGGCTGTCCAGTCTCTTCTTAAAAACTTCCAGTGTTGGAGCATTCACCGCTTCTGGAGGCAGGTTGTTCCACTGGTTAATTGTTCTAACTGTCAGGAAGTTTCTCTTTAGTTCTAGGTTGCTTCTCTCTTTGGTTAGTTTCCATCCATTGCTTCTTGTCCTGCCTTCAGGCGCTTTGGAAAATAGCTTGACTCTCTCTTCTTTGTGGCGGCCTGAATGTTCCTTAGTTTAGTACCACCTTAACTTCAAACGGTCTCTGAACAAATAGTTGTAAGTCAAGGACTACCTATATCTCATCAGGGAGGATTTCAAGTGGAACTGGCCTATAAGTTATCCCAATTTTACAGATTGGTTTGAGTATACCACTGTTTCTGTATGTTTGCCAGAAAATAAATGATACAAAATATGCAAGGTAGATTGTGTTCTTTTTTGGATTGGTGTTCCCTATTTTTCCTATAAACCTGCATTACCAAGACTCTGATGACTGAATCACCTGATTCAGTGCTGGTATAATTAATTCAAGTTGACTATTTGATATGGCTTTCCCCTTCCAAATACTGCTTATTATTTTTTTAAAGAATCTTCTCAATTTTATAAATGGATTATTACTAGGGAACTTTCCAAAGAGTAAAAGCACTCTTTGGAAAGGGGTACTATGTATTATATGATCCAATGATAATAATATGGTCTAATAAATTCCAATGAGCACAGGAAAATATGTGGAAACTCCTGGAACTCTAATTAGACACTGGAAAAAAAAGTAAAGAAGGGAAATATCTTCTACAGTTCTACTATGACGGACATGCTGCAAAACAGCTAAGTGGTGGCACTTGGTAACAGCTGAATGGCATTTCCAATCCTACTACTGCTTTACGCCCACCTTCATCTTCACTGCTGCTTCTGTTACCTCTTTTTGTTGATCCGACTACCACTCCAATGTCCAACACCAGGACCAAGACAATTCCAGCCATTCCACTGTGCAAGATATTTGAGAAAAACCCTATCATCCAATCACTCATTCAGAGACCTCAAAAATAAGACCAGCAGAAACTGTTGGTTGAAGACTGGGAAACACCTTTTTTGTCCCAACATTTGAAACTACCAAACTTTCACACAACCATTGCAATCTCCTCAATCCACCTTTCATAAATTCCCTCCTAGATCCATTGCCATGAGAAAAAAGACAAATGAAATTTATCTTAATATTCTGCTTGAATAGCTTCACACTGGGTATGGTTCCAGTCAGTGTTGATGGAGGAGGGGAGATATGAAATCTTCTCCCCTTGCTGTGCAGGGATCAGTACCCTACCCATTCTTGTTTAAAATCTAGATGAAACTGCAGGAAGAGATTCGTTGATAGCATACAGCACAGTATCATCAATACGAAATAGAATTTAAAGCAGTAGTAATAGGTTAAATGACTGGCATCCTACAAAAGTAAATTATCTATTATCTAAATAATCTATTAGCAAAGCTGAAACTATAAATAAGGCAGGATTGGTACTCTTAATATTTTTGTGCTGAATAAATTTATCAATACAATGCTATTGCCAATTCAGGATAATAATTTTATATTACATTTGGAATGAATAAATGTGTGTGTAGCTAGCAAGTCATGTTCAAATCACCATTGGAACTGGAACATAGTGACTCACAGTATGAGTGTGACTCGCTATGGCATGTTTCTTACGTTGTCACTCTCAGTACTTACAGTTACTGAGATTGTATTACATGACTAAACTAATTGAAAGAATTCCCCATGATTAGCTGTGCTTCCAGACTTATTTGTAATTCTATCCATCAGTTGTGCAATTGCTCCATCTTTTCTTTCTTAAGGGGTTCTTTATAGTGAAAAAACACTGGTGGATTATAAACAGAAGACAATAACATCTGGATCTCGCTATAAAATTCCATGAAGTACATGTTATGATTGCGTAATAAATGGCTTGTCTGGAATCTTTGCAGATTTCCCAACAATTTTTAAATGAAACGCAATTGGGAGGGTCTGCCAGTTTAATCCGCACAGCAGCACTAAGGAAAGAATTGGAAATCTTTTCTTCTGAAACTGTATCTTTCCCCTTCCAAAATTAGATGTTATAGTTTTGTGATCAGCAAGAGAAAAAGCTAAGTTTCTAGTTATCAAATTAAAATACATATTTTGTACTATATTAGTCATGGTGTCACACACTTGTGTACACTTAAGTATTATACATCGTATTGCTTTTGCCCACTTCATAATCTGATACACATTTCCCAGCCAACTTCTAGAGCAGAGATCCCCAACCTATTGGGCACCAGAGACCGGTTCCGTGGAGAGAGATTTTTTCATGGACCGGAGAGTATGTGGTTTTGTGTGCTACCTGCATCCCAGGGATGGGGCTTTGGTTATTTGTGTGGCCCGGTTGCTGGCATGCGCGGCCCGGTACTGGTCCATGGACCGGGGGTTCTAGAGTATTGTCTCTCTTGCCTTTCTCTAAAAATAGTGCTTGTTTAAACCATATTTGGTAGAAATTTGAGGAGTTGCAATTCCAAAATATTCAAAAGAAGTCATGTTCAGAAAACTGTTTTAAGAGGTTCAGATCTTTAAATGCTATAGCACTAGTTGGGACAGGATCACTGGCTTAAATTTATTTAGATTAGATTCTTCTTTCATCAAAAAAGTGCATTCAGAACTAGAGTAAGCATGAATATTTGTACCATCTGCATTTGGCTCATTTACTTTGAAGCATGGCTCTCAAAAAGCGTAGTTGATAGAAGAACTATCTCATTCTTGGACTTATTCAAAGATAGAGGGACAGGTGCTTATGTAGGATGTGTATATGCATGCATGTACATGTATACATATGCATGCCTTTTTCTGAGGCCCATAAACTTACCTGCTTTCTGTATTTCACAGGTTCATGAAGGTGGCAGGGAACATAGTAGATGCAGTTACCTGGCAACAGTAGGTATTTTTTCCTCTCTTTTTCCTTTTTCAATGTTTATAAAAGGATGATCATGACAAAAAGGTTGGGTACAGGACAAACGGGAACCTAACATTGATAGGACCTTCAGACGAGAGAACTCAGAAATTTATCCTCATTTTGCTCTTCAGAGTTTAGTCTGAAAATGAAGCTCTTTTGCATCACAAAAGGAAGAGATACTCTTTTAATTATGTAAAGCCAAAGAAATTCAGAAGGTAACCACAGCAATTCAGCAGGTGACCTGTAGTTTAGCAGAATCTAAACCATAGGTGTAGATCAGTATTTCTCAACCTTGGCATCTTTAAGACATGTGGACCAATTCCCAGAAATTCTGGGAGTTGAAGTCTACATGCCTTAAAATTGCCAAAGTTGAAAAATACTGGTGTAGATAATCAGCAGTCATTAAGCTGAATAATAACTTTCAGCATCCTTCTTCTTTAGTATTACTAGCTGGGACTATTGCTAGCATTGTTGCTAGCATTGTTACTCAGATATTACCTCTCTTACACTGTTTATTCTGAATATAGAGCAAAGAGACTTGACAACCTATTCTAACAAATACAGCAATCCCTTGGAGTACTTCATATTCAGGTAGGATGGTATTCTGAAGAAAATTCACACTGGAAGTCCACTAGGCTTTCTGAGTAATTAATGCTTTATAGGCCAGCTGGTGGGTCACATTTATCTGCCTGCTGTATCTGCTGTTGTAAGGAACAGCTTGTAGGGAACTGACTGAATGCAGAATCAATGCTGAGCCAATGGGTTTCAGAAAAAAGCAGATGGAAAGACGTAATTTCTACTCTTTGTCTTGTTTATCTGAGCAATCAAGTTTCACTGCCCAGTGATAACACATGATATTTTTGGGGAAACTCTCATGTGCAGCATTTACTAAGCCTGAAGGGATTATTGTTACTGAAGGAAGTTTGATTGGACTATGTAGTTAGAAATCCTGGCTATAGGAATATTGCTGTAGCAGTCCTATTAGGTGAGATTGAATTCATAGGTAGCTCCCTTGAAAAATAGTTGAGATTACTAATGTTTGGTGTTTCTTCTGCCTACCAAAATGGCTTTCGTGCCAATTATGAATTGAATACTGAAAACTAACAACAGTCATTTATTCTAGGGATTTGGCTGCTAGCATTATTTGCAGGTATTTTCAGAATGATGAGCACTAAGAAGGCTTTGCCTTGCACATTTTTAATGAATCATGTCCTTCTAGGATTCCACATATGTTTCCTGATAATATCTCCCCTAAATCATAAATTCACTAGATGCCCAGTAGTTATCAACAGGTCTTATACAAAGAAAAAAAATCCTTTTATTCAAGCAATGTTTGCTTGTTACTTGCTAGTTTTGTTGATGATTTTTTTTTGGCTGACAGAAAATAAAGCATAGTAAAATCAGATAAATGGAAGGTATTCTCAAATCTCATCTAAACTATCACTAGCACATATGCCAGAATGCTGTTTCATATTTTTGAATGCCTTAGACCAGAGTTCCCCAACCTTTCCAGCTTTGTGGCCTGGCAGTAGGGGAAGAGGGGATGGTTCCACCTGAGTGGCAGGCAAGCATGCATGTGTGTGCAGCTCCATTTGAGTGAGCTGCAGGCAAGTGCACATGCAAATGGAATGTGCGTGCACATGCTTGCCTGCTGCAAGCGCAAATGGGGATGCGAGCGTTTGCCTGCCACTTCTGCAGCCCAGTTCCAAAAGGCTCAAGGCCCAGTAGTGGGCCATGGGCTGGGGATCCCTGCCTTAGACGCTATGCAAGATTATTGCCCTCTGAAGCAAGCATTTTCCAAATAATATCATAGTTATGTTCATGATGAACTATGGTAACTTAGGATAATGTAAGTCCATTGTTCATAGTATCATATACCAGACTCTTGTAGACACTATGGAATTCTTTTCATAATGGTACTTTTCTTTCTAAATTTCAGAAATATGGTAATACAGATTACTTTCCCAGAAACAGACACAGCATCTAATGAGAATAGGTCTGGCTATAATGAGAATGGCATTATTGGCTACAGCCTGATTTGTTACTTATTGCTACTATTACATGTTTTATGGTTTTAGGGTGACTGGCAGAGAATTTGTGAGATATTTGCTCTTGAAATATGTAAAATATGTATTAATTTTGTAGGTGTTATATTGTATCAATGGAGTAAGAGAATATTTGAACATCTAGTGTAGAAAAATTATTTGAAAGAGTCCATTCCATGGACTGAAATAAAGAAAAAGCAAAACATAATATTCTGTATAGTGAGTCTGTATGTCAAGGTGCTTTGCAGCTAAGGTGCTTATCACTGAGATCAAAATAATCTAGATGTTACAGTCAGTATTTTTTTCTCAGGAGCCCAAGTTGGATTAAGGCAGTGAATGTTTTTAGATTAAGTATAAACATGAACTTCTTTGCTACACTTTTCTACAAATGGTAATCTTAATTTAGTCCTATTTGTATGATATTTATGTGTAGATTTAGGAAAAATTTGGTCCAGGAGTGAGGGAGAGCATTTGCTTTCTGGAAATTACTACTCTTGCCATTGCTGGGAAATGATCTTCCCATCCATATCCTATCAGAACTTCTGTTGCTGTGGTTTTTGGTGTTGCTGTGTGGTGAAGGATTTTATCTGAAAAGTGTGTATGCATGTATAGATGCAGCACATGTTTTTATAATAAATTATTAAGAAAAACAGAAGTCAGAAAGTGAAACTGAGCAATGGGAGTTGATGGATACATAGCCTATCATTAGTGGTCAATTGTACTAAAAGGAGAATATCTCAGATAATGAAGAAGAATGTTGTTTGATGCAAACAGCAATTATTTTGCAGATCAGCCTTCTACATGGTGCAAATTCTTATCAGCTCACATACTAGCCTTCCCTCTCTGCCTGGATAACCAAAATGTTATCTTGATGAAGCAAATTGCAAAATACGAGGTTTAGGCTTAGGTCTAATATGTCTGAGAATTTAGCAACTGGTTCACACAAACAGATTGTATAAACATCCCATATTTTTGATCCCATAAATTAGATCCAGTAGCTATATTGAGAAAGGGATAGTGGACCATACAAACAAAAACACAAAACCCAGGCTTGGGGAAACGTGGAATGGAGAAAGAAAAGGTGGTACAGTTCTAATTTCAAGCAGACCTCCCTAGAAATTCGTGAATGTTGGGAAGTGGCCTTAATGCCATTAACTGAAGTAAAAATTAAGGTCAGATAATGGAGCAAAGTTTCCTCTGCAATAAATTGGAGTAAAATAAAAACAGCTGTGCTGAAGCCATCCAACTTTGTTCATTATATCCTGTCTGAGACTAATGGGTCTGAGCAACTAATTGTGTATATTGCTGGAAAAATGTATTGAAGATGTAACAGTTCTGTTTAGTGAAGGAAATGGTTAGTATACCAAATCCACAGAAGAACTTTCAGCTTGGTTTACATGATTATCTAAACTTGGTTATTGTGCAGGCATTTAGACAATAAGCATGGTATGGACAGGCATATGAGCCATCTGGGTGACCTTGGGCCAGTTACACTTTCAGGACAACTCACCTCAAAGGGTTGTTGTAAGGAAAATATTAGATATATTTACCACCCTAAGTTGTTTATTAAAAATAATAGAGGTGGGATATAAATCAAATAAATAAATAAAATGATACTGTGATATACTGTATGTTGAAATGGGAGGCAGAAACCCTCTTTCGTTCAGGATGCAATTTGTTTTCCTGTCTTAATGTGGTGTTCAAAGTGGAGACAAAGTCCTTTCAATCAAGCTCAGTGAAAACCGTCTGAATTGCACAGAATCGATTTGATCTTTGTAACAATACTTCCTGAGGTATAGAAATCCATTTTCTGCAAATGAAAAGGCACTCCACCAGCAATAGCAAAGTTGCACAGTCACATCTGTGAAACGTGGGCAAAACAATTTAGATTGAGTTTCATGAGTACAATTAGTGAGATCACTATCTAGTCTATCTGGTCCAGTCTCCTGATCAAAGATAAAATTGTCAACGTTACATATCATGTTAAGCCAATTAGGCCAGAGGGTGCCAAAAGCATAAGAATGATGAACTAGAAAAGGGTTGCAGGTTAAACCATTTCATGTTATTATAAGGAAGTCACTCTGCAGTGAGAGAAGACTTGATCTCATTCTGTCACAAGTGGTGCATGAAGTGTGCTATCACTCTCTCTCCTCAGTCATCTTTTCTCAAGTCTAAACATCTCCCGCTTCTTTAAATTTGCCCTTATAGGACTTATTACTACTCCCTTGATTGTCCTTGTTGCCCTTCTCTATATCTGTTCCAATTTATCTAAATCCTTAAGGTGTGTGTGTGTGTGTGTGTGTGTGTGTGTGTGCGCGCGCGCGCGCCCCCCTTTAAATCTGTGTGTACTCCCAGCAACTGCACATTTCTGCAGTTTTCTCCACAAGATTTCCAGAAGTGGTTTTCCATTATCTTTTTCCTGGAATGAGAGGGGATAATTGGCCCAAAGTCACCCAGCTTGTTTTTTGCCTAAGGAGGAACTAGAACTCACTCTACCAGTTTCTAATCTGATCACTTTAATCACTATTGGAAACTACCTCTCTCTGTTGTATGGTGCCCAGAAATTGACAAAATACTCAAGATAGGTTTTGACCAAAGTAGAATAATGTGGAATTATAGGTAGTCCTCAACTTACAGCAATTCATTTAGTCACCATTCAGAGCTACATTGGCATTGAAAAAAGTGACATGACCATTTTTTACACTTAGACCTTTGTAGCCGCCCCGTGATAATGTGATCAAAATTCAGATGCTTGGCAACTGATTCATACTTATGACCATTGCTGAGTCCCAAGGTCATGTGATCGCCTATTGCAACCTTTTGACTAGCAAAATCAATGGGGATGCTAGATTCACTAAATAACCGTGTTACTAACTTATTAACTGCAATGATTCACTTAAGTGTGGCAAGAAAGGTTGTAAAGTGGGACAAAACTCATTTAACAAATATCTCACTTAAGAACAAAATTTTGGGGCTCAATTGTAGTCATAAGTCAAGGATTATCTGTACTATTTCCCATAATTTGAAAACTGTACTTTTGTTAATATAGCTTTTTTTTGTAGCCAATCATATCATTGGCTCATATTCAGTTTGCAATTGGTTACTATGCCAAAGATCTTTTTTCAAATAGAATTACCAAGCAGCTTTCCCATAGCCTATACTGGTACCTCTATTATACAGATATAATTTTGCTTCTTTTAGCTTATTTTTCTGAGGTACCAAACTTGTTTTGAATTTTATCTTTCTCTTCTATTAGCTATCTAATTTTGTTATGTCTGAAAATTTGATAAACGTTCTTTCTATCTCTTCATACATATCATTAATGAAAATATTGAAGAGGAGAGGATTAAGAACTAAATCTTGTGGTACCTCATCATCTATCTTGAATTATATGAGGGACCACTGATGAGCACAGTTTGAGAATGATTGTCAAGGCACTTTATTGTGATGCTATCCATAACACTTTTAATTAGCTGATTACTTAGTATGTTCTCAACAATCTGCCCATTTTTTTGCTGAAAACTAGATATGTCTACAGCAGTGGTGTCAAACTAGCGGCCTGCGGGCTGGATGCATCACATGCAGGCCATGCCCACCCCAGTTCCACAAAGGCAAAAAACATTGTGATACGTCATGTGATGCGATTGAGTTTAACACCTGTGGTCTACAGTATCTCTGCAATCTACTTGGTCAAAGCATGACATAAGATTAATCTTGCAAGAATTCTTTACAAATCTATGCTGATTTCTGGTAATTACCTCATTATTTTCAAGGTAGTTTTTATAATCTGTTCTAGAGTTTCTCCAAGTATAAGTATTTGACCAATCTATAATTCCCTGGATCCTTCTTTTTATCCTTTGCAGGGAAGTTGTCTAGCACTTCATTTCTCCAGTTCTCTTCAAAAACAATATACAAATACCTGGCCAGACTGTTGTGTAAATGCAATTCTCTCAGAGTAAATAGTCATTCCATGACCATATTTCTATCAATTTCATATTGTAATCCTGACTCTTCATTCTACTCCTGGTGGAGCATATACTTTCTTGTTAAAAAAAAATTGTATGCAGATATAGATTAACTTATTCTCTCTTCCTTGTTAGTTTGGTTTTAGCAAACTAATCTGACTAACAAGGACAGCTTATTTTAATGCAGGTTATTGTTTCAAATGGAAAGGCATTCAAACTTCACTTGTATTCAGAAGCAAATGTATTTTCTTAAATGGTACAATATGGATATGCCTTGGCTAAAACCAACATCAGCACATTTTCCATTTCAAAAACCCCACGTCTTTATATGTGTTGTTATATATATTTAATTAATTAAATGCACTAGAAATAGTACACTAGAAATAAATAGGAGAGTAAAATGTGTTAATTCTAAAATATGCTTCTGTATCAAAGGCATCTGTACTATGTGGCAAGGCAAAGTAGAACATTTAGAGTACTGTCAAGAGCAGCAAACATATCTGTCAAGAGAGGCAGACATATCTGATCTACTGTTGTTTGTGCCCAGTTGGCTTGGATGAGAGTTGTACAAAAGCACTGAATTCATTGCCTCCTATTCTCTCAAGATTTGTGTGGAAAGTTTCTATCTCAGGGATAATAAAATCTTGTTAGACTTAGCAGTATGTCTTTGAGAATACTGAGAGTAGTAATATAACACCTAGTTTAGCAATACAGAACAATAGGCTTAATTGCTAAAGTCTTCGGAGAAGATAAACAGAATAGATTCTGAAGGGACTGATCAAGAAATCAAGCATAAATTTTCTTACCTCTCCTGGATTGCTAGACAATATGTCTCTGGAGCAGCTACTGTAATTAGGTCTATCTACATCCTGAATGACATCCTCCCACTCCCCACTCTGGTTTGTTCCTTGTTAGGTTCTCCACCCATTACTATCTGACAATTAGATATTGGCGTGCCTGATAATATGTTCCAGAGCTCTCATTTGTCAATGCTGCATATCTCCTTGTAGTTTAAGAGAATAGATCTGGTTGACAAACCAATGGTAGATTTATGCATAGCTATATTTAGAATATGCTGCTGTGAGACAGCTAACATAGATATTAAAAGCTGGATCTATTATGAACTATAAATGCCCACTCAAATTTTACTTGAAACCAAATTTTTTGAGGTCAAGGTTTTTTAATTAACTTGCTACATTAATTTAACCTATGTGTCTCTTGCTCTTTCTGCTAAGTATTGCTAGATTGCAATATAATGTGTTTTTAGAATATAGGAAAATCCCTCTATTAGTAGTGTTGTAATTCTATGACTTTTATAAATGAAGGAATAAAATATAATTAAAATATTTCAATAAAAAAGAACTAAAAGAATTAAAATAGCAACTTTGAAGCATTCAGACATTGGCTTATATTCTTGAAATCACAGTTATTGTATTGATTTGATTGGATCTTTTCTAAGCTGACTAAATTTGACTAAGCCTGAACCTAACCCATTAATAATAAAATAAGTATTTCCCTGCCTTTCTTGCATTTATGGCTAGCATTAATGAAGATAAATTTGTACTATATTTAAAATAATAGAAAATCTTCCATGCTGATTGTTCTCAGAAAGACTTCTTGTTTTTCTTCCAGGTTAATTAAAGAGAAAATTTGGTAAGGATAACAGCCCCCTGGGAGATATGGCAAAGTTTAAATATCTTTATTTACAATTTCCTAATTTGAAGCCTCATAAGAACTATATTCATTGATTATACCATAGGTCTAATTTCTACCCTATTTATCCTATCAGTTTCCATATTGCTACCAGATTAAGTTTACTGCTTGTATACTGCTCCAGTTACTTCAGAGTCTAAATAATTTGTATACTCTGTTACATAAACAAAGATAAAAATATACAGTATCAAATAACAGTTCCCCATAAAGAAATAAGGCAAGAGCTATATAAATAAAAGCCCAAACTAGAAGAGTAAACAAAATGTATAAGATATCTATCTCCAAGCCCTGTTGAAAAAAAAACAAGCGTTAGCCTGGAGGGAGCCCTTTTTATCTGATACTATCAGACAGACCAATTGGAACAGTGTTTCTCAACCTTGACAATTTTAAGGCATGTGGACTTCAACTCCCAGAATTCCACAGCCAGCAATGCTGGCTGTGGAATTCTGGGAGTTGAAGTCCACATGCCTTAAAATTGTCAAGGTTGAGAAACACTGGATTGGAAGAAGGCAGTAATGAGGACAACCAGGTCCTGAGTCATGAAGGGCTTTAAAAGTGACAACCAGGATTTTTAATTGTACCTACTAGCAAAGTGGTAACCAGTACAGCTCAGAAAACATGGACAAATTGAGATGCATCCATAACTATTCAAGCTGCTGCATTCTGGACCAGCTTTGATTTTTGAGTGCTCTTCAAGAGTAATCCCATACTGAATATATTGCAATACTTCAACCAAAAGTGACCAAGCCATGAATGATTATGATCAGGCTGTCTCATTCCAAGAAAGGTACAATATGGAGTTGCACAAAGGCCCTTCTTACCACAGCTTCCCTTTCCTCTTTAAGCAGGAACTGAGAATCAAAAGAAGCCCTGGATTATGAACCAATGTGGAATGGAGTAAATCGATGCAAAACCAATTGATGAATTTCCATAGAACATTTTGGATGGTTTCCTTATACATAGCCATTTCATTTTTCTAGGATTGATTTTTTTAAGTTTGTATCTCCCCATCCAGATACCAATACAGATATTGTATTGCTTTACATCTGAATATACTATATATAACTTAATCATTTTAATTTATTAATCTTGCGTTTTTACTATTGACTCCTTCATTTTAAATTAGATACAGACAATCCATCAATGTATTCTACTACAGATAAGCACTTTCTAGCTTACACAGGTCTCTGAGATCCAGCTTTATAACAGGATAATGCTCTTTTACCTATCTTATATGTACCATCCAATAAATTATTTATTGATAATGAACAAAGGGTAAGATGAAAGAAAAGAAAATAGAAGTTGTAATCAGTTGGTAACTTTTAGGAAGATGATTCCAAAGTACATAACAGAACCAATATCCTCCCAAGATTATTTCAGCTATGATCCTCAGCTGACATTGTTATTTTACTTGAGACTGTTGCTTCTGTAGTGAATCTAGCCTAGTTTTTATCTCATGTATGTGATTTTTTTTGTATTCACAATACAGTGCATATCATTATTTGAGAATATCATAGTGGCTAATTAGTAGGAACTGTTATGATGTCAATTAGCATACCAATACAGGACTTCTAAACCTTTGGTTAGATCATCTTAATTGCTTGCAGTGACCAAACTTAGGACATCTAGGACAAATAGAACATGAAGGAAATAGCTGTCTCCTTTTATTCTCCAACAAGTGAATTGCTTCTGGTGTTTAGAACTCTTTTATACTTGGTCTGTCAATTTATTTACAGATCTGAGTAAATTTATCTGTTTGGAAAGTTGACAGGTGACTTCTATATTTTGTGATTAATTATTAATATTATTCATTGTTTATACTTATCATAGTTCTAGACATTATGTAGAAATGTGTTCCTGGCTTGAGGTCTCTTTCTTCATTAAATTGAATAAAATTATCTAGGACTTACAAATTACTGCAGGTGAAAGTAAAGAGAAGGAAAAATTAGAGTGATTTAAGAAGACTGCTGAAAAATATCACCATGGAGAAACTTCTAGAATGGGGTTTGGGACACAGGGAAAAGCATGTGGCAAAGGCACAGAAAAAGAACAGAAGTAAGAAGCAAAGGTCACCAATAGCAGCTGACCTTGTGCAGAACAGAGAGAATATTTGGGGGAAATGTAAATGTGGACAGCAGCGGTCCTTGGTCAAGGTGAGGGAGAGCACATAGTTGCAGCCCCTCTGACTGTTGCCTTCTCATTTTCATTCCAGTTACTACCTTGATGGCCGAGTGGCCAAGGTGACGGACTTCCTGAAAACACGCCTGTTAGACACACTCTCTGACCAGATCAGGAAAATCCAGAAAGTGAGTGAGTGTTGCAAAGGTGGGGAGCTTCAAATACTTCAGGGTGCTGAGTCTGGATTTGACAAGTGCTCAGTACCAAAAGGGTTTAGCAAAGGTTTCTACTTTGCTACTTCAAGACCCTGTAACTTCCAGCAGACTCAAGTCCACTGTAATTTCCAGCAAACTTGATAAATAAGATAGACAAAGTAACTATAAGAATATTTGGAAGAGATTGTGTGGACAGCTGAAATGTCCTAAACTCTGTCTTTATAGAGATATTGGGAAAGCTGTTATTGACTGAAATAATTGAATTTCCGAACCCTTGTAAGAATACAGAAGTCATTATGCAGGACAAGAAATGGGGGAGGAGATGCTAGTTTTGGAGAACAAGGGTGATGAATCTCTCCTTGGGTTAATGTATATCAAGGGAAAAGAGGCCTATGAACTCACTATGCCTAGCTCAATTTCCTGTAAGGTAATTGACTAGAATGCTTGGTCCATTTTTACAGAACGTTTTGACTTATCAAGAAAACAATAAAAACAGCTTTATTATGGATCATTTTTCTCCTAACTGAAATAGAATTTTTAGCTGCACTGCCAGACAGATCCTAACAGAAGATTTACTTCATTAAAGAACCCAAAGATACCAGCTTGCAGATGCCCTACCTCCTTTCCTCTTCCTTGTTTTGTAATTTTGAGATGTTTCCTTTAAGTAAGTCTAGTGAATGACAAGACCTGCAGACACTTGTCAGATTTTTATCCAGAGGTAGCAGACAGTAAAATAACATCATCGGGCCTTGTGTTCACTTACATGTATTTGTTTCTTGGCACCATCATATTCTTGACAGGTCTCTGTTGTAAGGTTTGTCTCATGTTAAACGGGCATTCTCACAATGGGATCTCTAGTGCCATGTACATACTTCTCTTTCACCACTGAATTTTCATAGGAAAGAGTTAAGGCCAGTATGAGTTTCTGACAAGGTTCTGGGGCTTGGGGGCTTGGTAACATATGCCCCAAAACATTGATTACTCTCATTGAAGGCACCAATATAGTTAAATTAAGAAATACCTTTGTAGTTGCTACTAATGCCTGCTCTAATGTATAAAGAAACTAAGCTTATATATTAATATAGATTAGATGTTTGAACATAATTAGTCAGACATCCAATCTACATATTAATCTAACAAGCATCTTGTTTCTCATTAGGCTATATACCCTTACATATATACACAGTAAGGACCTGATTTTGCTCCCAGTGCATAAGCTGTATCATATATGAAAAGACGTATTTACTAAAACAACATACGTATTTATAAATGTACATAGTAAATTACAAGTAGTCCTCAACTTTCATTTAGTGACTGTTCAAAGTTACAGTGCCACTGAAAAAAGTGATTTATGACCATTTTACACACTTATGACCATTGCAACGTGGTCACATGATCAAAATTCAAACGCTTGGTAACTGACTCATATTTATGACGGTTGCAGTGTCCTGGGGTCATGTGATCACCTTTTGTGACCTTCTGATAAGCAAAGTCAATGAGGAAGGTAGATTCACTTAACAACTGTGTTACTAACTTAGCAACTGTAGTGATTCACTTAACTATACTGTGGCAAGAATGGTCGTAAAATGGGGCAAAATTCACTTAACAAATGTCTCGCTTAACATAAATTTTGGGCTTAATTGTAGTTATGAGTTGAGGACTACCTGTATATAAAACTATTCAAAACTAGGCAGTGGCAAACCATAGTCAAACTACAAAGTGTATATATGTGTGTGGGGGGGAATTACCATTGTGGAAATTTTAAAAATATTAACTTTTTAAAACCTGAGAATGTCAATTTGTACTCATTTTAAAAACTAAGAATGAGGTATTATACAAAATAAGTGGGAATAAGAAAAGCTTAATGGTGTTGCCATATGGTATAGCAGCCTGTGATATATGTCTTGGAAAGCAAAATTATAAGTAAAAAAAAAATTTATTTCCTTACATAAGGGTCTGATCTGGATAATGGAAATATCTTACGTTGTATGAGTAATTTTTGTTTTCATAAAGAAATGAAGCTTTGAAGGCATGGACAATTTCATTTTGCAGGAGTGAAGTATTTTATTGATTAGCCTGCTGTCTGCCTGCTATGAGACACGACAAACAAACTGAAAGGAATCATGCAGGGATAGTATACTTACAACAAAACTAAGAGAACCCACACAAACAAATAGGAAGTCAGCGAAGAGTCATATGTTCCAGGAAAGCAAGATCAATGCCCATAAAAGAAGTAGAAGAAAGTTAACATATTTTCCATCCACTTCTTACTTTTGTTTTCCTCATTATTTCAGCCCTGCTAGTCACTGAAAAATCAGTATTATTTATGCTAACCTGTGATAATACATGTTTTAAAGTTACCAGCTATAGATAATTGTTGAATAGCAGGACTATTCTTATGTTCTTACCACCACCTTTGCTTTCCCCTTCTTTTTTTGGCAACAGGTGGTCAATGCACACATGCCTGGAAAAAGGATTTGGTTAGAGGGTATCGGGGCTGCTTCTGAAGGAGGCATCACTAATCTCTCAGATTCCTATGCTGCCAGTTTCCTGTAAGTTAATCTAAGGATGGAAGTAGTGATATGTTTATGAGAAAACCAGTAAGTGCACAAAATGATTAATTGGCTTCTTTATTTTCTATAAGACACACTAAGCTCAACTCTAAAAATAAAGGATACTGTACATCATTGGATTAATGATTATTAGACTTTATTTATCCATTTTTCTTTTTCAATGGGAGAAGACATGTAAAGGTAAAACATATAAATAAAAGTAGAAAAGCTACTGCTATTTTTTATTTATATATAAGCTGAACATACTGTAAGCTGATTAGAAATGGAACTTTTGATTAGCTGTAATGTTTTATCATACCACTGTCCAACTAAAAGACCTAGGGCCACAGGAAAATTTTTACAATAATTATGTGCCTCAATCTGTTGTGATGGCTGTTAAAGAGAAGGGAAGGGAAGGGAAGGGAAAGTATTAGAAAAGGAGCAAAAATTGTATTAGCAAAAGACTTTTTGGTTCTGTCCTCACCTATTATTTATTAAGCTTTACTTGTTATTGACAAATTTCTTAGAGATTAAAAGATTTTATTTATTTATTTTCTGCCTTTATTATTTTTATAAATAACTCAAGGTAATGAACATACCCACCACATCTTCCTCCTCCTATTTTCCCCACAACAATACTATGAGGTGAGTTGGGCTGAGGGAGAATAACTGGCCTTAAATCACCCAACAGGCTTTCATGGTTATGGTGGGACTTGAACTTAAAACCTCCCACTTTCTAGCCTGGTGTCTTAACCACTAGACCAAACTGATTTTAAAAGATCAAAAGATTTGTCCACCAACATAATTCCTTTTTGTTTCAACTTTATTTTCTTCTTATATGGAAGTAAGAATGAGGAAATATCATGACACTTTGCTTAAAAAAAGGATATGAGTCCATAGGTAACAGTAGATAATAAGTAGTATCTGCTGAATTTTCAGATGCCAGAAAGGTGACTGATTAAAATAACAAGAATGGAAAAGAATACTATGCCTCCCAGAACTCCTTAACACATTATTATAGCAGATTTATTTATTATATCCATCTTTCTTTTTCAGCAGCTTGTGCACATTGCTAATTAGTTCAAGTTCCCCTTTCCCCTCCCTTTATCTTCCATTTATCTTTGCTTTAAGTTAATGATTTTTACTTCATTTTTATGTTATGAAAATATAAAAATTTCATATTTTAGCACAAGTCCCTTAGAAGCTCTGTTTGATCATTTTGTAATAGGTGTCATTAAAATCCATTTTTAAAATTAGTATTTTTCCTCTTACTGTGTGGGAAAGTGATGTCATAGGTTATAGGTCATCCAGGTGGTGGTGGAAAGAACAATCCTGGCAACCTTTCAACTCATTTATAAAAATAAAACAAGGAAATCACATGGGAAAGTTCAAGTTATTAAGTTCATAGAAGGTGCTCCATGGAGATCCACATGGTCAAACTAGGTTAATCAACAGAAATTAGTATAGGGGTTCACTTTCTTAAAAAAAGAAATTGTTTATATTACACTGACAGCAGGAGATCAACATGTTTTGTCTGACTTAGCATTCCAAGCTAAAAATTGTGCTAGGCAACTTCCCTTCCATGGTTCTTCCTCTTCCCACTGGAGATAAAAATCTCTGTCCAAAAGAAAATGAGATAGCCTCAAGCTTTTCTTGGGGGAAAAAAAGCAGATGGAAATAAAGTAAGCTTAATGGTTGAAGACTGCTGATAAGATTCCTTAAACATTTACTATTTGATTACAAATTGTGTTTTAAATTATTCCATGAGAATTTATATCATATTTGCACAAATGTGAAAACAAATCACTACACGTTTATTTATTTATTTCAAGTACATATTTAACTTTTATTGTGGTTTTAGAGAAAGTGATAGGCTATGGTATTAAAGTTGAAGGAAAGTACTAAACTTGCAAAGAAGTGTTAGAGAGGAGATGAAGAGTTGAAAAATGAGAAAAGGATTTTAACTCTGGAAGAATTCAAGGATATTTGACAGCAATGTTCTCAGAACTTTCTCTTAAGATTATCAGTTACTACAACTAGTCTTCAACTTACAAGCACAATTAGGACCAGAACTACCACCACTAAGCAAAGTGGTCATTAAATGAGTTACGCCTGATTTTAGAACATTTTTGCCACATACTTTTACTAAATCCACTTCCCCATTGATTTTGCTTGTCAGAGGTACCCTGGGATAGCAAGCAATGATCACATGACCTCAGGATGTTGCAACCCTCATAAATATATGCCATTTGCCAAGCACCTGAATTTTAAACACGTGATCACAGGAACACTGTGATGGTTGTAAATGTAAGGACTCATTGTAAGTCATTTTTTTTAACACCACAGTAATTGTGAACTGTTGTTAACAAATAGTCATAAGTCAAGGACTACCTGTATAAGAATCAGGCTGTTTTAGATATGGATTTAAAATTGACAGAATAGAAGAGTGATATTGACAAAGAAGTTATACAGAACTTAAAAATGAAACCAGCTGATATTTTAATTTCTAAAATGTACACACAAATAGTAAATCAGAAGAGTGAGTTGGATGTATAGATTTCAACTATAGAAGAATGATTTGGACAACTTTTATTTTGGACATTAAGACAGCTGTGTTATACTTATGAAGCTATTCCTAAGAAAAGATAAAAAGAAAGTAGAAAAGAAATCATTGTTCCAATAGATGGTATTGTTCAAGAATCCAGAGAGTATTAACCCTGTCAGATCAAATCAGATGGGAAGAGATTATAGGGGAATGTGTCTTTCAGTAACTAGGTCTGTGCCATACAGAGTTTCATAAATAATAAGCAGAATCACAGAAACAAACTGGCAATCAGTGTGGCTTATAAAGCAGAGCTGTTACATAGGCATGCCAAGACATGCCCATCATTGCCCAAACCGCTGTGTTCTGGATCAGTTTGAAGCTTCTGTAGTCTTCAAGGACATGTTGTAGTAGTCAAGCTGTGAAGTGATCAGGGTATAAATGACTGTTTGAAGGATCTCCCAATTTTGGAGAAGGCACACAATTGGTGCAGCAGATGAAGCTGTATAGAGGCCTTCCTAGCCATAGCTGCTACCTGCTCATTGAGCAGATATTAAAATTACTCATAACCTCATCGATGCACTGTTGTGGTGGGGGACTCATCTCATCACTGCACATTCCTCTTAAATATCTCATTATAATTAAGGGAGAATCATATCTATCTCTTTCTTGTCTAGTGGTGCTTTATATCTCAACAATAGAAATTCAATTTCCCCTCAATATTTCACTTAGTTCTTATAATTATTCCATGGACAATTTATGCACGTTCTCGTGGGATATTTTCACATAAATCTCCAACTTTTCCCTGTAGAATCTTGGTAATATCATATCCACCTTCATGCAGGAGAGCTGCCAAGACACACTTTCAATCAACTGGCTGTCTAAGTTCAAAAAGATTTTAGTTTTATTCATAATAGACAAATAATAGATTGACTTGGGCAGAGGGAGAAAGCAGACTTGCTAGCACATTTTTATTATTCGTTTGTGTGTGTGTGTGTGTGTGAGAGAGAGAGAGAATGAGAGTAAATTTGTTGTTTTGGTTTATTCAAAACCCACACATGCTAATATACAAAGTTATCTATATAGAGTATTTTGTCCATTGCCCTTGTTGGAGGACAACAAAAATCTGTAAAAATATATTTGACTTTTAGTGCTGAGGTTTTTCTCCCATCATAATTAGCTAAAAACATACTGCACAATAGCAGTATATATTATCTGACAATGCTAGGTTTCAACTCCAAAAAGCTCCCATAAGTTACCTCTGAAATATGTCTTTTTTGGAAAAGATCTTGAGTACCTCTTAATTTGAAGCTAACTCTATTTCTCAGTGAAGTAGCAGAATAATTAACTCATAAGCATATCTTACTTGAATGGCAAAAGAAGAGAATGCACCAGGGACATCTTCTCCCAAACTAGTGGCCTCCAAATATTTTGGGATATAATTCCAGTTATCACAAGACACTGACCACTATGGTGAACTGTGGGGTACCAGTTAGACAAGACAGCTCTCATACATGGAACTAAGGTACAACTTAGATTGGGGAAATTTGCCCTGCTATTCTTGGTTAAAAGCTAATCGATTGTCTTCTAAATTGCTAGGTGGCTAAACTCTCTTGGGATGCTAGCGAACCAGGGCATTGATGTGGTAATGAGACACTCATTCTTTGATCATGGGCACAACCATCTTGTGGACCAGAACTTCAACCCATTGCCGGTAGGTGGATGATACAGTGTTCTGTATCTTCTGAACTTGCACTAACATCCCTCTATTCTTGCTAGTCCTCTGTCCTAAATATTATATACACCTCTAAATGTGTAATGTAACACATGGCCTTTCTCATATTTTACATTCTTGTATATATACAACCCGTTTCTCCATAATTACTTATTTTGTAGGAGTTACTTCAAGGCAGCATTTTTAACCTACTAACAGAGGTACATAGCATGGTAGCAACCTTATTCACATGCTGTATCTTCATCAACTTCTTTTTGTTATTTCCAGCCAGAATTCTCTCTTCTTTTCATTCTTATTAGGTATATACTTCAACAGTAATTCCATTCATTTCTCAGCTCAGTTTTCTGCTTGTTCCTTTCTTGTTTGCTCTATATTATCTTTGCTGAATCAGTCTGAGTTTCTCTCTTTTCATGTTGCCAGTCAGTAAATCACAGGATTTGTGCATGACTTTTGTACCCTTGACCTGTTCCTTAAATTCTTGGCTTTCACAGACAGACAGACACTCATACACAGATATACTTATACACACACACACACACACACACATAAAGATTTTGCACATACAGCTGAAAATCTACTGCTCTTTGTGGCCTGTTTGAACTCGGCTTGAAAATACATTTTTCCAGATTTGTTTCTTTCAGTACTAATAGGAGACATTAGTTAATGTCAAGTACAACATGTTGAAAGCAGATGGGGCAGGGTTACCTCTGGAGCTATAACTTTGTCCACTATGAGAGCCTCAATGGGACCCTTGTGGGTTGCACAAGACCAAGAGAATCAGGGCATTTCTTATGGGAGGGGCATTTAAACCAATACAGGGAGGAAGGAGGGGCAAAAGGGGAGTTATAGCTCCTGAAAACATACAATAAAAACAACCAAACCCAAGGCAGCTAGGTCCTTAGGGAAAGAGCAAAGTGGCAGGAAAATGGAGCTGAACAAAGTTTAAATTTATAGGAATGAAGGTGAAAGAAGTTCACAATTTCACACAGCAGGCTAGTTCCTTGCAGTTTAATGCAAACCCTCTTATTTGCAGTTCTTCAAAAGGACAGAAGTATTCACTGTTGAAAGTGCATAGGGTTCTAATAAGAAAAACATATGTTAATCTTTTAAAATAGAAGGTTTTCTTTTCTTCCATTTCAGTCTAGTAAATTTTACACCTTATAAGTGAAACTTAGCAGCATCAAAAAGCTCTGAATCTCCATGGCCAGAATGTACAGGCCTGGTAACATCTGAGACACACTGTTTGCAAGACCCTGGAGTGCAGCATGAAGATTTGGGAAGCAGAAGAGCAGCCACAAAAGCTGAATTATCCTATAATGAAGAGGAAATTTTCTGCAATTAAATTTTAGGAGAGCATCGGTTGCTGAAATTTTCTCCTAGATAAAAATTTGTTGATTCAGGGTTCTTGTGCCTCACATCCCCAGAAAAATGTTTACAAAATGTCACTTAAATAACTTACATAATTCTATAGTAGAAAAAGAAAAGGACGTGCATGGTCCGTAGTTCTTATGAAACAGAAAGTTTGAAAAAATGATATTTCTTGAATGCTTCTTTTTTCATAAAGTTAAGATTCAGTTTTTTTAAAGAAAACCACTGCTTTATAAATAGACTGATAAGAAGAGGAAAGGGGAGAGGGAGTAGGGATGGGTGAAAATATGGTACAGATAATTATCAGGCTACTGAGAGACAGAGGCAGAAGACAAGCAGAGACACAGACGTGTGTTACAAGTCCAAATTAAAATGGATCTGCCGTTAACTAAGTATCAACATATAAATACTTTTCTCCAAAGCATTTATACCAAAAAGGCAGTTTGGAGGACTCAGAAAAATAAAAATCCTATGCAGAGCTTCCTCTAGGATTTCAAACATTCTAAATTAAGCATACAGTGCTAAGAAAGAAGCTCATATTATGCATGCATCTTCTTTTGAGCAAAACTCACTCAGTGCTAATATCTTTCTTCCTATCCAGAACAGGTGATTTTTTGGGTGGAGAGGTAGAGTCTGTTGAACAGGCAAAAATGGCGTTGCTCAGCCGCAGCAGACTCTGAAACTGGGCTGGGATGTGGTGCCTGTTCTTTTCCCGTGGGAGCTATCAGGGAGATGAAAGTGGCTGTTTGGGCTGTGCATGACTGCTGGGACATGAAATTGAATCCTCCCACTAACTCATTGACAAAGACTTGCTATCTTCCTTTTGTGCAAAACCTCCAATGCTGAGAGAAGCCGTGACATCAATCAATGCCTTGGCCTGGCTACCCATCAGCTGGCGACAAGCTTTGGCTGGGTGCCTTGCAAGAGCTCAATTGCTCTCCTTCCCATGCCATGGCAGATCTAGCCCTAACTCCAGAGATTCTCTGCTGAAGGAGGGACAATTGAGCTGTTGTGACACCCATGAAAACAGTTCCGAGGTCTAGGTTAATTCAATTTGCCAAAGTGAATGTCTTCTGTCTGTTCTGGAATATCATTCATATATGTATATATGAGTATTCAGTTCACCATGTACTGCTATTTACTTTATTAGATGATAATTTTGGTCCTTGCTATTACTTGAAATAATTCTCAGTTGGAGCAAATTAAAGATTTATCCAAAATCCTATTGCTTATCACAGGCCAACAGAGATTACAAACATCAAAACAACATGTAAGAAAACTTCCATATGATAATAGTGTATCTTGAGATGCTTCCAGATTTTTCAGACTCAGTAGCTGCTGTAGAGGATATTCTAAATGTGAGACTTCATAAAAAATAACTAAGAAAGAATTTCTTATTCTCAGATTTTCATAACCTTTTCTCTAAGACTATGACAGCTCTAAGTTGTACTGTAAAAATATTGTGGTAAAGGAGCACCAAATTGTGTTTACACCTTAGCTAAAAATAAATGTCTGCTTTGCACATGAGTCCTAAGGGTATATTGTTCTCATACTTGTGGTAAATGGCACCCTTATTGTTGTGCTGCATCTCATTTGACAAACGCATGTGCATTTGTCACTGGAAGGAACAGAACATGAAGTGACGAGAGAACAGAACCACAAGTGGCATTTTATGTTCTGTTTTTTACAACAATAACTCTCAGAGAACTGGGAGTGGAAGGTCTATTATACTGCAATTATTTGTCAGGTTACAAGCAGCATTTCTTCACCATGTGGTTAGGGCACAATTTTAGAGCTCAGATCTGGTTGCAAAGGTCTACAGGGCCCCTGGGAATGTATCCTGTAAGTCTCTGCTAGGAGACAGCCGTGTCTACTTAGTAGGATTGTATAAAAGGTCATCTAATTTATTTTTTTTCCCCAGTACCTCCTTTTCTAAACACACCTATATAAGAAACCCCTGGGGTCATGTCACAAACTTTCAGTGCAAAAGGACACTTAAATTCTATAGCAGCATGTTCAGTATTGGCTAGAGCTCAAACGTTTTTGACAGTTATTCTGAAAGGAAGAATTTGTAAAAATACTGCTTTTCAGCAGAAGAAAAACATATATTCCAACTTCTCCCATATGTGTAGCTATTAAAAGTAGAAAAATTCTGTCTTATATTTTCTGAACATAGAGAAGCATAATTCTTTATGCTTAGTATTACTCTTGGGCTGTAGCAAACTAGAATATGCTTCATAATCCTTTATACCGCCTCTCCATAAACTCTATCCTAGGAATAATGAATCTGGCTTTTTTGACAGGACTACTGGCTGTCACTGCTATACAAGCAACTTGTTGGACCCAGAGTACTTGCTGTTCATGTAGCTGGACTGCAGAGAAAACCTCGCCCTGGCAGGGTGATTCGTGATAAGTTACGCATCTATGCTCACTGCACCAGTTACTACAAGTGAGTTATCTCAGAGCAGGTGCAACTACTGAAATAAAAAATGGAGATTGGGCACTGAAGACCAACAGATCCAAATGGGATTAATCAGAGTGAGCTACACACATAAGAAGAAAATGTCATCCAATTCAGATGAATCTTTGTGTTCCAGGCTCCCAGATCTATGTGTCATTATACCTGCTAAAGAATGAGATTCATTATTTGAACAGTAGTGCACTAGGGAAAAAATCTTATATAAATACAAGCATAGATTTTGTCTCCTCTTTTTTTCCCCTCTCTGTGCACAACTTGGCAACGTGGCTTTTTCAGATTGAGGAGAGGGGAGGAATAGGGAATTGGTGTTGATAGGGAAGCTCACCTATCTTTGGGACTGTGGTGGGAGCCTTTGTGGATGACATCAAGGGAGTACAGTTCCCCAAAGGCCCCATGGTTTGGTTTCAGTTCCTTCTCTCCCCCCACTTCCCATTTGGGGCGCCTAACCTAGCTAGAATTTCTACGATAAGCCTTCAAAGCATCTTAGGAGTGTAGGACCTGGGACTTTCCTAAAGACACAGCTCCCTATTGTTGCTACTTCACATCATCCAGATGCTTTCAGCAAGGCTCCCCCTCCCCCTCCTAGAGGGAGCTTTGGCCAACGACTGACAGGTAACTGGCAGCAGAAACAGGGAGAGATGGGAAAGGGAAAGTAGGCACAGGCCAGCAGACCCCTGGCTCCTTTTCATGCCCAGGGCAAATACTGTAAATGGGGGCAGAAGCTAACTCTCTCCTCTTGCCTAAGTTTACCTCAAAAGCAGGAGTATTGAAAACCTTATAAATGCTACCTAAGGAAATAATATGTATAAGGCTTCAGATGCCTTGTATTATCACATCTGTATAAACATCCTATAATAAAATAGTGCTGTTAACCACACCATCATCTTTCAGGCAAGAGATGTAGATTGAAAGATTGCCAAAGGCCACTAAAAAAATTCATCTGAGATTTAGCTGAGATTTCAGCCAGGGACTCCCAACATGTGTCTAACGATTCTATTAGCTTTCAAGTATTCCCCCCAAAGGACTTTTTTTTAGCATACGGTATAGCTTTCTTCTGACCTATAAAATATTGCTTTTTAGGCAGCTCTTCTACATGTACTCACTGGCAAATTACAGCTAAATAGGAGGATTTTACTTAAAATTGTCAGGGCCTAGTCATCATCCTATTGCTGCCTGCAACATACATTAAAACCTGAAGCCTACTCTAATCATCCATCACAGATAAAGTAACTGCGCCTGTCTCACATGCCAGTTTCCTACTCAGTTTAATAGCCACTTGCAAATAAACAATGATAGAATTGGAAGGCTATTCATTTAACTAGAGTAGGAAATGCTACATTGACTGCACCAATAGGTGCTAACTTTTTTCAAGAGAAAATATTGATGCTTCTACATCTAGATGATAGGGTTCTTCTCCCATGTAACCCAAACAAATTGTGCTATTCAGTTTGATATTTCCTATGACCGAGGCTAGATCTTGAAGCAAAAATGTTATCTTGTCCGAGCTTAGTGGAAATATAGGACCTTAGCTGCTCTGAAAACACCAATCCATAGTGGCTTCATTAAGACCATGGAATTATTGTAGAAAATGTTGGGAGTATCCTTTAGACCAGTGGTTCTCAACCTGTGGGTCTGGATCCCATTTGGGGTCGAACGACCATTTCACGGGGGTCGCCAAACAAGGCTGTCTGCCATTTTTTCCTCTTTTCTTTGGCCACGCCCCTGGCACCCGGTGATGTATAAATGGTTGGGGGTCACCACAACATGGGGAACTGTATTATGGGGTCGTGGCATTAGAAAGGTTGAGAACCACTGCTTTAAACAAAGGATGTATCTTTGCAAAGTGATACATAGGAAAATTGATTTGACAGAAGAACATCCTGGACTGAACTGCAGGAAATACTTCTTGTTATTAGGCAGTTAAGCTAGATAAAAAGGGTCACAGCCTTTGTCCCAAAATGGGGTTCCTATCACTAGAATTTCATGTTGCGATTGGAAAATAATGGTGAAAATCTTTAACTCTAGAGCTAACACATTGTTATTAAAAAGCATTCAAATGGTTCACCTTCAACCTCTTATCTCTCTCCCAGCCATAATTATGTCCGTGGTTCTATCACAATTTACATTATCAACTTGCATCGGTCACGAAAGAAAATTAAGTTGGTAGGGACCCTTCGGGACAAGCTTGTCCATCAGTATGTGCTGCAACCCGATGGTCAGGAAGGACTTCAGTCAAGGTGAGTGCTATTGTCCAGTTCAAGGCTACTATCATGAGAACCCATTAAAGAACATTTTAATGACCAAGCATTGATATTAAGCACTGTGCTCCATTTATTCATCTATACATATTATGTGCTACTTGCCATGAACTACTCAGATACCTTAATTTCCATCTTTTTGCTGTCCCAAAAACTTATGTTATAATAAATCATGTGAATAATGTTCACTTTTAAGAAAGCACATATTTTTGTGTTTTAAACAGAAAAGGCTACCTTTTTGGAACTTGTCACTGTGTATAATTCCATCCAGCTTTAAAATACTGATGGAGAACCCAGCAATGTTGTTTTCCCAAAAATTCCACCTACTCCCGACCAGAGGTTTCCATCCCCCATAATGTAAACTATTTCAATATACCTTCTTACTTTATTCTCCATTATGGTGCCCCACATAAAATCAAAAAGATAAGAAGTACAATATTGTACCAAATCTAAGAAAGCTTATATGGTCTAACATTCTGTTTTCCTAATGGCCAATGAAATGCCTGTGGGAAATCCACAAATGGAATGCAAACACAGTAGGCCTCTCTCTCATGTTCTCAGCAAGTAGTATTGAGTCACTTGCTGTCTTCTTGAGTCATAACTAGGTGTCAGTTAGTGGTATATTATAAATTTGTCCAATCTGCTTTTAAAGTCTTCCAGACTATTGATAATCACCACATCTTGCTATCATGCATGCCCTAGATCAGAGTTTCCCAAACTTTCTGGTTTTGCAGACTGGCATGTGAGGGGGAGAGGGTATGGTTCTGTGCAAGTGGGAATGTGCATGCGTGCTCGCCCGTCAATTCCATGGCCCAGTTCTGAATGGCTCAATGCCTGATCGTGGGCCATGGCCCAGGGGTTGGGGACCCTGGCTCTAGATTATTTGTCCTGAATTCTACACTCTCAGTCCTTCTCACCAGCCATGTGATTCTAGTATTGGTATAATTTATCTGACCATGCAGTCACTTTCCTAGCCTTGTTCTTTCATAGAAGCTTATATTTAAGTTCCATAGCAAAGATATAAAGTTAGTGTCCATCAATCTTGAAGTCTCCTGTATTTCTTTTATCATTGTCATGAAGAACATCTATGCTATCTATAAGTCCTACCTTTTCCCCCTTTATCTGGAAAGGGACAGTTCTCTCCTCCATATTTTGACTGAAACTGCATCTGGTCTGTGTAGGTCTGTGCAGCTTAATGGACAGCTCCTCACTATGCTGGATGATGGAACCTTGCCAAATCTGAAGCCTCGTCCTCTTCGTCCTGGCCGAACCCTTGTTATTCCACCTCTCACTATGAGCTTCTACGTGGTGAAGAATGTTAATGCCCTGGCGTGCCGGTACCGGTAGCTCTACCAAACCCTACTGCCAAGGGCAGACCTTGAGACCCTCTTGGGCCACTTCTTGGCAGGGGTGTGCAGACATAAACAGGAAAATGAGGACAGAAGTGCCTCCAGGAAAACACTGGCTATCCACAGCTGTTTCACATGTTCTTATGGTCCTAGCATCCCCACCTGCTATGGTGATTTCCAAATAAGCAGTATTTTAAACCCTTTAGACTATTATAGAGTGGGGACTTTGTGCCACCTTGTGGGCAACGAAGAAGCTGTAATATGAAGCTGTAATATTTCTGGTTTTCTCTGCTCAGCAAGTGCAAAGTCAAGATGCATCGATCCATCAAGCCAGAGGCTACCAAAACAGTATCAGCAGAAAGAGGCTTAGAATCTGCTATTTCAACTTTATCCCTGTGGGTGGTGTGCCCCCTACTGGCAAGTGGCAACAGAACAAGCAATGTAGCCAGGAAAACACATCTAGAGGAGCCAGAATTGTATCTTGAAGAATTAAGCACCCAGTGGTGCTGCAGAAGAAAGACAACCCAGATATGAAATTATCTATAGCTGCTTGAGCCTATGGCATTGTGGGATGGAAAAGAAGAGGATTGGTCTTGGCCACTGTAAATAGTGCTGCCTCCTGGGAGCATTTGCTGTAAATGTTAACTATTAAATTATATTTTCTGAAAAGCTGAAAAAAATACTTGTAAGAACAGAGAAATTGAGGCTTTTAAAAAGTTTCCTACTTCTTGGGGCACAGATAAATTATATCAGATGGTGCGTGAATGACATATTTAAAAACAGCTATTATATTTCTGTTTCAATATTCTGAAGCCTCTGCATCATACTAAGTCTGGGCTGCAAAACTCTGTATGGCAGCAAAGAACTATAATCTACTATGTCTCTTTGCTTTCATTTGGTGGTCCTTCAGATTTTTTGCTAACCAGAGCCAGTAGCTCTATCCCTGCACTTTCTAAAAGTGGTGTTTATATTAATTTAGATGTCACAACTAATTATGAGCAACCAGACATCTATTATGTTACCAATAACCGTGCACACTTTTCCAGTCTGAGGATCCATCCTATTCTTTTCACTCTCATGCATAATTATCTAGCCTTTTAGATACAGTCCACTCCACATTATTCATCTCTATTCATTTCATCTAACTCAAATGTTACTAAAAGAAGCAAAGCATTTATACAGTATTCTCCAAGATTAAATTAAGTTAGCCTGGGAGGAAGATAATTCATATATAAAGTCTTGGGGGTTTTTTGGGTTGACATTAAATGTAAACGATAAGGACATTTAAAATAAAAATGAAACTTCCACTATGTTAATATATACTTCTTGTCAATAGGAAAAGAAAAAGAAGAAGAATGAGAAACTAGAAGAGGTGCAAAAGAAAGAACTTTTCACAAGTGCCGTCTAATAAGAGTAGTTAATTCTTTATTGTTTTGTTATCAAGTAGAGGCCTCACCAAACGACTTGCCTAATTATTTAATGGCCTCTCAAGTTCAAAAATAGTTTTGACATAGATTTATTTTATTATAGAATGAAAATTTCTAAACTAGTTTTCTTGATCCTTTTTGCTCATAATTATTTTGTTATGTGCATGATTGATTTAATTTCCTCTAGGACAGCAAACCAATTACAGAAAAAATTGTGCCACTGTTGTTGTTAGGCATGCAAGACCAGGAATAAAGCAAACTAAGTCCGAATCATATTATTTATGTAATGCTTTAGAGTTTTCAATTACTTTAGATATAGTATTATTGTTGTTGTTGTTATTGTTATTATTATTATTATTATTCATTACAATAACTGTAGAAGATAGATCAGCATTTTTAGTTCTATATGACAAATGAAGGATGGGCATAGAAGAAGCAGTAACCTGCCTTGAAAGAAACTGAGCAAATACACAGCAAAGGCAAGAACAACGAATGTTTTGATTAATGGATTAGCTTATAAATGTTGTAGTAATGATTTACTGTATTAACAGGGTGAACTAAATGATCTTTGTGACATATTCCAAGTGCAATGCTATGCTTCCAGCAAAACCATTGCTCATCACAGTGTAAAACTGAACAACATTTTTGCAAAAACTGATGACTGATTTGCCAAAACTCCTAGTACCTTTTACTGGGATTGCCTGGGATGCTATGCTTGCCTATAACTTGTGAAACAGTCTTGAGTTTCTGAACATAATTGCAGAAGCTGTATTCCCCACTTTGTTTCTCCCTGTCCTCTCACCCAACTCTGTTGTTCTGTCTGCTCTGCAGTAAAATATATTGTAGCCTGAATTAGATGTACGGAATATGAAAAATGAATTGTAAAACAACAATAGATGCCACCTCCAACCATCAATGCAAATATTCTCCCTTTTTGCATCTTCTCTGAGAATTACTGAGTAGGGTTGGACCTGGCTGGTATTTAGATGTGAGGCCACCAAAAAAAGGCCAGACTGGGAACAAGAAAATGCATTCCACAAGAAAGGCAACTAGAAAACATTTCTCTATTGCTACACACAAAATAACATGAAATCCTCCACTTAAACTCAACTCCTTCTTGTCCTGTCTCTAAACTGACAAACTTGTAAAGGATAGAAAATGATAGTGTGGAAGGATTGGAATACTCTCAGAATGAAACAAAACAGAAAAGCAAAATTTAGTGTCACTTACAGTTGAGAAAAATAACCTGCAAATATTTAATCCAAAATAGTAAAAATGAGAGGTACACAATATTCCTTCTCTAATTCAACTTTATAAAAAAAGAGTTGTGGAGAATTTAGTTTTTTAAAAAAAAAATACTAAAATAACAAAATAGAATTGTTGAACAGCAAAATGAAACAGTACTGTGTTGTGGCCTGTTCCTTGTCACATAAAGTCATAGCAATTTGTGAATGTTGGGCCAATATTTTCTACAGGATTCTTCCTGTGGCTCTTTTGGTCCTTTTCTGCACTGGCAGTAGTGCATCAAAGTAATTCCATGACTTGTGCTCCATTGCTCAAGAGATTATTTTTCTACAGGCATTTCCAGGTTTCAGCTCTGTGGGAACCATCGACAGCATGTGCTTGTTAATCCGTACCCCCTAAAGATAAACAGGACTACTTCCTCCATATAGGTTTTGTATCCAAAGTAGTACAAAGTAGTCTTTGGTAACCACATCACTTTTTTATATTCAATTATTGTAAAAATCCACTTTATTTCAATTTAAGATTGAATATGATATAATTGGATTGAGCAGTCTAAAGGTTTAGGTGTGAGTAAAATATCACACCTGTGATATCACAACTGTGTCCTTAAATTGTTCAATGACAGAAAATTAACATATGGAGAAACCCTTGTTTCTTTCCCCAAGACAAAGTGTTCCTACCACTTCATTTCAGATCACTTACTGTTGAAATGCATTTTATTTTGACTAAATTTCTATAAAGTGAAGAATATTATGTGAACTTAGCCATTTTGCTGTATTCAATGAATCATAGTTAAACAAACCATGGTGTGTGCGAACCAATCTAGAAGAGTATAAAAAGTTTAGAAGTGTCCAAGTAAAAGATGAAAAGTCTTACGTTGACTATCCCAGTTCAGTATATATGAACAGAAATATTTTTTACTATTTTCCAGTTTGTAATTGGGAGGATGCATTATTTTCCTGATCAGAAGCTTCCATTATCTTGTACCAGAAAGCACAACTGCTTACAGTCCTAGCAATTCTAAGATTTTCCTAAGAAAATCTAGAAATGTGTATGTCATCCAGAATTGCGAGATGATATGGCCTAAAATATAATTAAATACATTTCATATCTGAGGAATATGTCATACATGTCATCACAAAGTAGTGGTCTGGAAGTATTTGCCATTCCCAATAGTTAATGTGATGAGCATAGCCTATATATGTTGGCAGTGAAGAGACAGAATCACAAACACACAATTCCTTGAACTTCATTTTTTTCAAAAACATCTTTCGGATTTTCTTACTCTTTTAAGTACTCATAATACAAAATCTATTTCTCCCATAAATAATCCACTCACCCCCACATAACTGAATCCCATTTAGGTTCCACTCATTCATTGCTCATTTTTTGCTCAGTTTTGTCCCTCTGCACTGCTTCTCCTTCCCATTGATCAGATGACACTTATACATTATACTCCCTTTACCAATGATACTGGCCACTTGTCTGTGTGATTGGAGAGGTATATCAGAGCAAAAATATGGCTTCCAGCTACCAAAATATTTAGTTCATAAGAATATTTTGGAGCCTTTTCAAGCCTGGAGATATTCCCCAGTATAAAAATAGCAAGTGACTACAGGCCAATTCATCAGGCTGAAGCACTCCTAGCCACTGTGAAAAAGACATGGTCTGTAGGGGCAGTGGGAGTTGTCTCTTGATACAGCAGTGCCCATGGGCATCATTTATACATACAAATTATTGCAACCAAGAGGTCCTATTGGAACAATAGTGAACTAGAAGTTACTTGTATATGAACATTACCTAAATACAGAGTGGAGAACTTCTGCACCTCTAATTTTTGTTGAACATCGGCTCCCACTATTTCTAATCTGTGATTATTCTAGCTAATCTGATGAGATGAAATTTAATAACCTCTGGATAAATGATTCCCCACCTGTAGTATATAGCAGCTCCAACCTGAGGGAGATAGGTAGATTATAACATAGGCACCATGTTTCCCAGAAAATAAGACCCGGTCTTATATATTTTTTGCCACCAAAAGAGGCACTGGGTCTTATTTTGGGGGGGGGTGAATTACCTTAGGACCACCACAGCCAGGCCTCCCAAGCCCTGACACCTGCTTGACTTCTTCAGCACCTTCTTGCCGCCACTTGCCACCGCTTGCAGCAGGATGTCACATGGCGCTTCGGGCCATTTCTGAGCGATGGCGATGGCGTGAAGCACCACGTGGCATCCTGCCACGAGCAATAGCAATGGCCTGAAGCACTGTGCAACCTCCTGCCGCGAGCAGCAGCACTGGTGTGACAAGCCACATGGCTTGACAAGTGTCGAGGCGTAGGAGGTCTGGCTGTGGAGGTCCTACCGGTAAGGTAAGCAGGTGCGGGGCACGTGGGGCAGCTTCACCCCCCCTACCTCGACCCTTGCCCCCAAATTACAGCTTACTTTCGGAGGGGGATTTCTTTCGAGGAAACAAGGTATATGTCTTGGTGTGTGTGCATATTAAGCTAGCAACAGAAAAAAATACAACATGGTAATAACAGAAATGATGGTAATAATAATATGGTAATAATAGAAATGAAGAGAAAGCAACAACAGTTTGAAAATAATGTAATAAATACAAGCTCAGAAGTCATGTTCATTTGCAAATGTTGATAAGTAGCATATACTGACACAATATTAATTCAGAACAGGCATAGATTTCCTTTTTCTATGTTTAAAGACATTTCTTATGTCTTGACAAATTCCAAATAAACTGGGAATATAGCCAAGAAGGAGAAAAGCATAATTATACATAGTGATTGATGTGTTTCAACGATTCTGTGAATTTCATCCCAAAATGTGACAACAGAAAGCTATATACTTATATATAGAAGACAATACTATACACATCAACATTTCAGTTCCTGAACTGTAATCCAACAACTAGGCAGTTGCAATGTAACACAAAAATTGATTTATCTACTATTTGTTAACAGTTATTCCAGCATGTTGTAATAACAGCAGCTTTATTTCATACTGCTAATAATGTATATTTCAAGTTATACAAATTATAACACATGAAAAATAAATAAAATGCAATATACAATTAAAATTACATTATTTTAATTTATAATTTGGGATAACTTAACTAAGAATCCCCTTTTAAAAATATTTTATTGAAAAATGTAAAAAACAGCAAAAATAGTAAAAAATAAATAGTGAAAAATAAAACTAAAAGAAAAATACAGAATAAAAAGTGCAAAAAAAGGAGAAAAGACATATTTAAAGAAGTGATTTCTGATCTTCATCACAAGTATAAACTTAGTAATTCTTCACCTGTAAGAATACATGGAATATCTCTTTTTCCCATAACCGATCTTTTATTGATATGTAAATCCAAAAGGATCTGTTATTTCCAATATTTAATATTGACATAAAACTTTTCATAGTTGAAAGGGTAAAAATTATATCTGCAACTCAATATTTTGAGAGATAGACAAACAGATAGACAGATGGACAGACAGATAGAGGTATTTTGTGGGTATTGAAACTGATCTTGTATGAAACAGGATCATAATACCTGCCAGAATTTTAATTAGGTAAAAAAGCAGCTGTCAACTTAAACCCAAAGAAAAGATGAAAATTGATATTCCTTATCCTAGACCTGGCATGTCAACCTGCCAGCTCATGGGCCAGATACATCATACTGAAACCGCGCCACCCCATTGCCAGCAATGAGGAAAAAGTCACAATACATCACACGACGTCACATGTTGTTGCGAATTTGACATGTCTGTCCTAGACAATAACCAAAACTAAAATAAAGGTCAAATTATAAGCCTGAAATTTTGGCATAATAAAGCCACTTTAGGATTCAATATCATTTATTGTAATAATATCTGGTTTAAAACATACCATCCCAATTGTACATTTGCCCCTCATCTTTGTATGTATTCTTTTAATATTTCCATAATTTCTATTAACACAGACAAAAACTCATATTAAAAAGAATATGAGAAAGAAGGCATATTTGATCTGTACCATTTCATAAATTTTGTTAAATTACAGGTCTAATAAATCATATGAATCCAAACTTTATAGCTCTGAGAAACCCCAGATAAATCAAAATTGGTCTCAAAAAATCTCCCACCTTCCCTCTCTCCTTTTCTCAGTAGCCAAATCTGCCCATTTTGTGTTAGAGGAAAAACACCAGAACTGCCAAAGGTTTGACAATCTGGTATAAATCCAATCAAATCTGCATGCATAACAATTGGAAAAACAATCTACAAGACTAATTGCTGTTAAAAATTTAGTATCCACATTCGTCAAGAAAATATGTCTATAAATAGAACACATAGTATATACTTCCCTGCTTGGAAATATCTGTATTATTTTACTCATTAAAAGTACAGGAATTTATTTGAAAAAGTTTTACTATATATCTCCAAGAAAATAAAATATATAAACTCATATATTTTATATCAGTCAATGGGAAAACAGTTAAGGCCAATGGCCAGGAGCTTTTCCTGGTTTCAGATTTAACTGCAGTGACAATTTCCTGAAGTAAAAGAGGTAAAGTAAAATTAATGACCTGGCCCTATAATAACTGCAGTAATCTTACATTGTGTGCGCTTTTTGAAAGAAATCTATTTCATCATTTGTTGATGAATTGGACCAAAACAATTTATAATTTTTAGAAGTGTTGATTGATCTAGAACCCTTATAGTTTCCCATGTGAATAAATGCTACAATACTACATTGCTTAATTTCTGTCTAAAGGCCATTAGCTTATTGATTTTTCTCCTTTCCCAATATTGTTGCCTGGTTCAATGTAATAAAAAATCTGTTTTAGAAACGTAAAGCTTGTGAGATTCCCATTTAGCAGACACCAAGGATTTACATTACTCAGGGTTGAATGAAATCCATAAAGAATGAATAATTCTTTAACTTTTTTCTGAGGGGACTTAACTTTAACTAATTGTTGCTCAATTTTGTAAGAACAGTATGCAGTAATTCAGTTCAAATAAATGCTTTGGCAATGTCCCATATCAGAGACAGTGATGTAATCTAGTCCCTATTACTATGGGGAAAATATACTATCTTCTGTTCTACCTAAGATAAACCCTAATACTTTAACAAAGTTACACTTAAGGACCACTTAAAAGATCTGTGAATTTATTGTCAAATAAGGTTATAAATTTCACAAAAACATAATCTGAAATTGTACATCAATTTTATCTGATGTATATCTGAAATCATATATCCTGGCTTAACTTTACCAAGGAATGTGAAGCAGGAAAGAGCTAAGAACATCATCTGCTTATCATGATGCAAAGAGGCCTCACATAGCATTTGCTGAAGATACAGCCTCAGAAGGGAGTGTCTAGGCTGTAGACAACCTGTTACTGAAGGTTCAAGGTATTCCAACATTAAATCAGTGCTTTCCCAACTCCTGCAGGAGAAGGCCTGCCAAGTGGACGTTATAATGGTATGGATCAGGGGAATAGTACCCTTTTGGGAAAGGAATGTTGGTCCTCCATTAGGTTAATATTCCCAGCAGCACCTCATCTGATAATTTTTGTTTTCAATTGGGGGGGGGGAGGCACAGGGGAGAAAAGCTGCAGAGTACAAATGCATCACCAAGTACTGTGCTCAGGAGCTGCCATTCAATTTTTGTACCCTGTGCGTGTATAGGCTTATGTGTGATCCATGAGGGAGTTCTTATGGCCCTTCTTTCTCCTTGCCCAGGGATCATGGGCCTGTAGTGCTTTGATGTTGGGCTTTGTCATCTTCTGTTTCTAGCTTTCCCTGCCGATAAATATTTCATAAGGCACACACAAAAGAGGAAAGCAGAATTGAAGCACCACTACACTTATGTAGACCCTGAGCAAACAGGGACACAAACAGCCATCTCTAGCACAAAAAAACAGTTGAAGCATTGATGCAATTTTTCTTTGCCAGAGGCAAACTTAAAGATGCTTATTTCTATTTATCACATCACAGATCTCTTGACTCTTGTAGGTGTGGTTTTTAGTGGAGACTTTAATATTTTAGTGGCAATTCATTTTAATCTTTTAATCTTTAACTATTTTTCGTATGTTTTTTATAATTTCTAAGCCACCCAGAGCCACCTTGT